GCAAAATCAGGCATTTTAAATCCCGTACTCCCCCCAGCATTTTGGGTGGTTGGGGGGGGGGGGGGCGGACGGAGGAGAAGCGTGTGGTTATGCGGGTGTGGCAACGTTTACGTGGACATCGCTATCCCTCTGACCAAGGGAATGCCGTCATTCTCATCATCTATCGGGATAAACGGGAGGATGGAACGATTTCAAAACCACAGTTTGCATGACGGGAAGGAGTGTTCATGTGTTTTGATGCGTGCGTACTTGTGCTGCAGGTGGTGCGCAATGTGGTGTTCGAGCCGCGCCTGCTACCCGGTGGTGGTGCGACTGAGATGGCGGTGTCGCAGGCTTTGTCCAAGAAGGCGCAGGTAGGCCTATTAGGCAATCAATGGCCAAGACAAGACCGGCATGGTGCCGTGACACCAAGATTATGGAAGTACAGCTTTCTACAAGTATGCATACCCGAGTCAAGAGTTCGAATTTTGGAAGAACCATTGCGACTGAACGTGATGCAGCAATACGGCTGCCGGTGTTGTACGAGTGATGTACTAGTATTGTACTAGTATTGTACGGATGACACACACCCTGTTGCGTATTGTATTCTTGTAGTAGCGTTCAGTGTTGGGCATTTGGGGGCACAGTGTACATGCGTTGCGACCTACGTACCGGGGCACTTGCGGATAGCGTGGTGCGTGTGTAGGGCGTTGACGTGATACCATGTTGCGATTCTGGGAGGCAATTTTTTTTTTCTTGTCTTGAGGCGTTTATCGTCTTGAGGGTCGACACCTTTCCTACCTCGACTGCAAGCGTTAGCGATGCACCTTTTGGCGTGGACAAGAAGAGAATGCTGCTGCCGTCGCCATCGCCATCGCCGCCGGTCCAGCGTGCTCGTGCTATTGCATTATGTTGCAGCGAAGCCGGCTCGGTTTGCTCTGCTCTGACGTCATGCAAAAGCGAGAGCGCTGGGTACGGTGTGGCGTGGCGTAAGGTCTGGAGACCACACCCTGTAGCCGACTGATGGTCTTACCAAGCGTGGCAGTGTGATGGTTCACGACCGAAGCAACCTGGCGACAGGAGTACTTTTAGGACAACCGCAGTGTTCGTATTCTCTCGATCTCACATGGGGTCTTGGCCAAGCTGAAGTCGTGATTCTACGAGACATGTGTGTCTACAATGTGTCACGATCGCAGTGCTCTGTTTTGCTGGACCTCATGCTGGGCATCACCCCTTACAGTAGATGATAGGCTTCGACATGATGTGCTTCGACCCCCGGCCATCTTGTTTCCAGCGGCAAGAAAGTAGGCAACACGAGGATAAAACGTAAAACCAGAAATCAACCCCTTACACTTCCGAGGTATTACACGTCTATATAACTTGACAACTGGTCTTCGTGTTTTCATGCTTGTCTTGTCCATTCCATCCGTTTGTGTTTGCTGTTGAATTCCCAGGAGGTGGAAGGTGTGCAGCAGTGGGCATTCAAGGCGGCAGCTTCTGCGCTGGAGGTCATCCCCCGCACGCTCGCCCAGAACTGCGGGGCAAACGTCGTGCGAGTGCTCACACAGCTGAGGGTGAGACTATTGTACCTTAACTCCAAAATTGGTGCAGCACATTTCTTTTCCTTCTGTGTGTTCTCGTTCTCGTTCTCGTTCTCGTTCTGTTTTGTTCGATGCCGACACTGTTTTTGTTGTTTGGGAAGCCCGGCATGAACCATGGTCCCCGCCCCTGTCTACCGTCTGTTGAGCTTGAATTAGGCTGGTTTGTTTTTGGAATGCATTGTGTTTTGCTTTGCGTAGGGTCGGGACCGCCATGAGGCAACAACACCAAAAGGGTTTCGGGTAGACAGAGTGCATTTTTCTGTTGTTCAAAGAACATGGAGGAGTGAATCAATCCACCAGGCTTTTAGCTGAACTCGACGATGCACGGTGTGCGTATAACGTGGGTGCGTCCGTTGTCATCCCATGACGTTGTGTTTCATTTGCACCTTTGGGTATGTTTGTTATGTTTGGAAGCACCGGCCACGGCCACCCAGGAGCACGTATTAATAGCATGTAGGAGTATTTTACTTTCTTGTGATGCTGCGGTACACAGTAACTTGCCATTGTCTCTCAAGCTTTTATTGCGCCTTCTTGTAATTTTCCGTGGGAAATCGTTAACGCAACGGGAAATGACAGGCAAAGCACGCCAACGAGGCCAAGTGCACCTGGGGGATCGACGGCACGACCGGCGTGATGACCGACATGAGGGACCTCGGGATCTGGGAGCCCTTCACGGTCAAGACGCAGACCTACAAGACCGCGGTAGAGGTGAGGTGTCAGGGGCCAGGTGTTGGCGGAGTGTAAGTAACTACTAAGTAAGAAGTACGAGCCATCAGGGCGATGGGGCACTCAATTAGAGTCTGTTCTAGTTGCTGAATCAATTTATATTCTTTGTGTGTTGATAGTTGTCTGCACATGCAATGTTGTTGTGGAGAAACAAGCCTCGCAAGACAGTGGTAGCCGGTAAGGGCGAGGAAAAAGCCAAGCAAGGCGTTGTCAAACAATGTTTGTGTTTCGCAGAACACCCGACAACACAAGGCTCGATGGCAGAGGGTACAGGCAACGAGTTGGCTCCTTGATCATGTACGGGTGGAGAGGAGCGTGTGCCGACCGCCACCCCCCCCCCAACCGCTAGACCGCCGTCGCGAGGATATTAAGCGTTAGACTAAATGTCAAATAGAGAGGGGGGTTCCGTACCCCTTTCCCTAACCCAACCGAGTAACCGCTACTACACGTATAATTAAACCAAATGTATTTTGCTCGCGAAGCATACTCTCTGCAAACGCAATTAATAGGCTCCTTTTCGTTAGAGTGAAGGCGTTGTTTTTTTGTTATGCACATCTACCAAAGGGATTTTCTTGTCGACGGTTGGGTTTTGACCCTCTCCCCTCCCTCTCCGTTGTCGTCCCCCCTGTCCGTTTGATGTTCCATTCTTTTGTCGGTGGCAGGCGGCTTGCATGATCCTTCGTATAGACGACATCGTGTCTGGGATTAAGCACGGACAAAAACAGGGTTAAGGGCTACAAACCAATGCAGCGACGCGCATCGCATGCGAACGAGCAGCGTGTAAGATTCTAACTGTTTGTTGAAAGCGCATGGTGGGCAAAAGAATGCACGCCGGACGCCAGTCTTGGTTTATTGGTTTCCGAAAAAAGATGTCAAAACATCAAAACATACGAGGCCGTTTTCGATTTGCAAAGGCGATGTGTGTTGGTACGGTCCACGTGTGTTCTTCTGGTTCGAAACGTTTTGTTTCTCTTGTATCAGAGTGTGGTGTGTCCATCACGCGTGTCGCGGCGAGGTGGTGGTCCGTTGGTCGTTTTTGTCAGGAGAAGAATGGCTTTCCTCGGGTAGACAACGCCCTTATGCTTGCTGCTGCTTGGGCTCGATGGCGGTGGGCTGTCCGCTTTTGTCTGCTAGAATGCTGCGTTATGGAGGTATGTTTAACCACAACCACGCTAGTATTAGCTCTTTTTTTTTAACCCGCGACAAGGGTACCAGGCCGCAAGGCCAATGACGATCTTTCGTCAAGGCAGCCGGGCAATGATCCTGCTGCTATGGCTCTCGGTACAGCAGCGTATGTCGAAAACAATTGCTCCTTACTTTGCTTGCCCCACGCGTTATTTAGTGGCCAACACCGCCGTATCTTGGTACAAGGCTAATCAAGGGAGTCACTGAGCACTTGGCGCGTTAGTAACGGAGGCGGCGCATTGAAGAGGAATGCTACAGTACCGTGTGACCAATCCCATACCGGAGCGCTTGAGTCTTGTAAAGCAACGTGTGCCAAGTGTTGCGGGGTTTACACGCGTATTATAGTAGTATCTGGTATCCGTGAAGACGTGAAGACCCTCATGAAGACTCACTTGCTTATCTATCTCTTGTCTCTTGTCTCTTGTCTCTTGGAACAGCAGTGATCTTCTTGGTACATGTACATGTAGGCTGAGCACAAGGGGCGAGCATCGCCACCTCCAGAGGGGGGCTATCACGGTTCATCCCCTGCTCAAACTATATCCCTATGATGAGGAGTTGCATCTCCCGCCAAAACCCTAACTATAGTATCTAATACCAAGAACTACTGCTGTACCGTTCAATAACAAAAGACAAGGCAAGACTGGGAGAAAATGTACTGTCTCATTCAAATGTTTCTACGTGTTGCTTGTTCCCGCCTATGCACACCTGGAGAAAATAATGCTCGACACAATCATTTTCATACGTACGCCCACACAACAACAATCACAGCTCCGAAGGATCCAACAGTGATGAAACGGAGGCCTGACATAAAGACATGTTGTCTCGACCGCGTGAGGAATTTCAGCAACCGATCAATCAATCGCACAACGCGGAAGAACAACGCCGTAACGGTTCTCCCAACAGCCATCTGATGAGCAGATCAGCCCGTGATCCGCTGCACCCTGGCGAGTGCCGGGGTCGTGTAGATGGTGATTTCGTAGTCGGCCTCCTGTGGCCTAAACGACGACGCCACGGCTACGTACTCCCCGGCCTCAACCTCCACGCTCTCCGTAACGGCCCCCGCGCTCGAGTCCATGTAGACCCCTCCATTCGAGGAGGCTATCGCGAGGTTGGAAGTCGCTTGACACTTGGGGTTGAGGGAAATCCTCCCGACACCTCGCAGGTGCATGCCGCCTGAATCCTCCGGGGTCCCGCGGTGCGATCACCCCCCCACCCTCCCTCGTGGTTGGGAAGAGCGTGATGTTGACCGCGGGCCTCTCCTCGGGGAAGGGTCCCGCGTTTTCTGGGATTACGACGCGGAGGAGTATCGACGCTCGGGACGGTACGGTGAAGAGATACCTAATAGCAGAAACAAAGAAGCAAGTACGGATGGGCACGAGGGGGGGGGGGAGGGGGTCATGCTCACATATCGCCTGAAATATTAGCGTTGTTGCAATGACCACGCGTCCCTTTGAAGCGAAGCGCCGGTGGTTCCTAGTCCTGAACGAAGGCGTCCTGAACGCCGAAAAGTCTTGCCTGAGGGAACGGGGGGGGTTACCGGGGGCGTTACGGGCTCACACAGAAAGACATGGAGGGGCCAAATGACAAGAAAAAAAATATTTACCACCGCAATTTTTCCTTTTTGAATGATCGCATCCACTACCCCCCTGCCTACCGTATATCTATAGCTCATCGAAGAGCTACGATTCGAGGCTGATCGAGTCAAGTCTGTTCTGCGGAAAGCGCCTTCGAACTTTTCGCGAATGATTCAGCAAAAGAGTCATTTTCCACGTCCAGTATCACTCGTCTTGCGCTCACAGATACACACACGACACATGTCGCTTTTTTTGAGGGAATCCTGAAAAACAGCCGTCGACATAAAGAAAGTGGGTGTACTGGGATGTCCTGGTTGTTTACATTGTGTTGTCGAGGTATCTGCCGAAGCTGGAGCAGCCCGCCGCCGTGCCATGATCTTGTCTCCATTGCCCATGCATCACCTGCGATAAAATAATGGCTTTATCAGTTGTCCTCTTCAAAAAGACATCAGTGCTGCATAGGTAAAGAGAGCGAGAGCGCGAGAAAGACAGAAAAAGGAAGAAAAAAAAGTGACTCCAAAGGACGGAAGACAGACACGAAACCGTATTGCGCAGACACGAAAAGACAGCCCTGGTTTCAAGTAACTCGATGCAAAACCGTTGTTCAAATAACCGGCATTTACACACATATGCATACTTGTGCATAGGAAACGAAAAAAGAACGGTCGCCCCATATATTTGGTAAAGATGTGAACGACTTCAACAAGCGGACGAGTTGATAGACTATGCAGACACATCACACATCACACGTAGCTCGCCTGCTTAGACGCCATGCCTTCCCCCTCCTACGGGATGCGGGTAGGGGGCCTCACAGGACTCGTCGTGCACAGCTTTGCAACGAACCCCGCCACCTATCAAAGGACAGCCACACGGCCAGTAGCGAGCAGAACATCAATGTCTCTAGACTGCTGTCTTTCAGTTTCTTTTCGATCCGTGTCATCAACAAAAATTGGGGTGCCAGCACCAAATTCGAGTCATGTGAGAAGCACGGGGAGGAGAAAAGGCAGAGAGCATGACGAAGGCAAGAGTGTGGGTGGTCTTTGGTTGTTCTTGTAAAGGTACGGAAGAAAAGCATGATAGACTAATCGTGAACCACGTGGCGCGGAACCAGTTCTTCACTACGATTACTAGGCTCACGTAGGGTAGGTACTACACAACGGGCAATACACGGCTACGACACCAACAACGACTACAACGCCGGCCGATGTGTCGCACACACCTGGCCGGGTTTGTAGGTGCTGAAGATAACAGTGTACGTTCCCGCCGGCAGAATGCCTCCCGCGTAGCAGAAACCCATCCGGTATGAGCCCGTCGCCATCGCCTCCCGCTCGTTCGAGACCGAGTCAACCCGCATCCCCCCTTGCGACACCACGGTAGCGTTGATTTGAAACTAAACGCATCGTGCAAGACAGGAGGGAAAAAAGTACAGGCACGCGAAGAAAGCATTGAAATATTTGATCCGGCACAAACTGGTGTTGCGAGCAATCCACGCGCGCAGAGGAAGACAGAAGAAGAACCAGTCTACTACACACCTGCAGACCAGAAACTGATGTGGCAGAGTTTGTTAGAGACTTGCAAGGCGCAAACGAAAACGCAACACAGATAGATGTACACAACCTTTAGAGCGGTCAATGTTATTAACTTAGAATACACAAGGATAAGGTTTGCGGAGCAAGGATTAAAACCATTGACCCGGCACACTCTGTCGCGCGCAATCCACGCACACAGACGAACAGAGAACCAGGTGACAACACCTGCCGCCCAGAAACTGATTTGGCAGGAGCTGTTAACGTCTGCACGGTGCAAACACAAAACAACTAAGGTATACATAAACTTAGCGCGGTCGATACCAACCTAGAAGACACACACACCCAAGGAACACATGCATACGGTTCGACAAAGTTGATGTGATTTACATACAGAAAAGTCATGGAAAATGTTCGTACTTGATAATACCAGGTCACCATTATACATGTAAGTTGGGCGAATAGAAAAAATGACGATAGACAAGGCGGTGCAGCGAAAATCGTCGGACTTTTGCCCACTTGGTACACACGCTGCTGCTGAAAAGTATGACAAAATCGAAAACTGAATCACGTCTGTCTCCCTCGAGCTCATCTGAGCACCAAGAGTCACATCACAAACAGCACCGGGCGTCGCACTTTACATTCACTCGAGATTGATGGAAGAGCAGGGGGCGAAATAAATGAGGGAAGGCGTGTGGTGTCATTTTCCGACCGGAATACGTCGCCGTGGTGGACCGGAGTTTCGTTCCATCAGAAACTATATATGACTGTCTCCAAGTCTTCCTTAAATAAATAGAAGTTAACAAAGAAAAAACTCGTTCAAGAAAAATAAGACGTTGTACGCATATGCACCTTCACTGGCGTCGCACTGTGACCCGTGTTCAGGAGAAATATTCCCTGTCTACCAGAGGGTACACAAAAAAACGTCCGACTACCGTGAAATATTCCCTGTCTACCAGAGGGTACACAAAAAAACGTCCGACTACCGTGAAATATTCCCTGTCTACCAGAGGGTACACAAAAAACGTCCGACTACCGTGAAGTCGATACAAGTATTGTTTCGCTCACATCTTTGGGTGCCCTGACTTCGACATGAACCTTGGTCTCGGGCTGTGTTAGCACCAGGGCGTACTGTGGGTTGGTGTAGAAAAACGGTGTCCCCAGTGCTCCCCCCGCACTGCTTTGATCCCATGCACCCTGGACGAGGGAATGAAAAGAGAACATAGAAGAAAGACACAGTAGAAAAATATATGTACAATAGGGTCAGACAGAAAGAGAGAGAGAGAGAGAGAGAGAGAGAGAGAGAGAGAGAGAGAGCGAGGGAATGAAAAGAGAACATAGAAGAAAGACACAGTAGAAACATATATGTACAATAGGGTCAGACAGAAAGAGAGAGAGAGAGAGAGAGAGAGAGAGAGAAAGAAAGAAAGAAAGAACGAGAACGATAGACAGATACACAGAGAGGCAGGGAAAGCGCAGGCAGGTACACAGGGTTTGGAGATAAACATATATACGTAAGAGCTAATGCGACAACCAACAACCCAGCTTGCCTGCACCTCACCCATTGCTACCACGCCCGCTGCTACTACTGGCTACATCGGCATAGCTTGCTTGTGCATTTCCCCAGCAACTCTGCTCCAGCTGCAGTATGGCGTATATCGGAAACACCATAGCTGTGGCACCTTGTGGCACCTTGTGGCACCCTTCGATACTCACCAATACCGTCTGCTCGTGTTCGGGAGATGTAGGCGTTTGGACGACCCTGAAGGTGTTCGTGCAGTACACGTCCACGGAGTACCTTTTACGAAACGAGAGAGAACGAAAAAGAGAACAACACGTACGCCATGCGGGCAAGTTAGCCTGTGGCTACGGGAATCGACCGGGTCAAGTTTTAGATTAGTACGGACAGATGAAGGTACTGGACAGAGAGATCGGAACAACAACAACAACAACGACAACGACAACGACAACGACAACGACAACAATGACGCGAGGAGATGATACGGGAGGACCAGCGGAATCATGAACACTAGAATGGCGACACCAAATAGATACCGCAACTCAGAGCGGCTAGGTGCTAAATATAAAGCGTACCATCTTGCGGTTAACCCCCGATGGCATCATACTGATCAACAGAGATACCAAAAGTGCCGACAAAAATTAAAAAAAACACGTTCATGGTGGACTCATCATAATTCCAACTACAAGAGTTATCATGATGCAGGAAACCCGAGAGCGGTTCGTTCAAACAATAATTGGCAGTATTAACACTTGAACATGACATTTTTGAAGTATCACCATACTGCTGTGAATCATCTCTTTCACTTCTTCTTTGCGGGTTCAACTGTCTTTACTTTTGTTTATCGTACTGGTGGACCACCAGCAGAAACTACCAGCAAAAAAAACGAGATTGTAAAAAAAAAACACGCACGCGCACATATCTAAAGACTGACGCTGTCGTCCAACCCCCGACGTGGGATCTCGATGGCTTGAAAGCGCGCTCGGTTTTGTGGGCCCAGCTAAAGCACTGACGTCTTCGCGCTGGTCAGCCGGCTGCTGCTGTGGCGTGGACGATATAATTTCAAGAAAACACGCACACAGCAGAAAGGAATTCGACCGTCATTTACTCGTCTGTTTCTACCTATTACCTGACTTCTCTCTTCTTCTCGTACTGGCTGACCACGAGCGTGTAATCGACCCACTTGTCCGTGGAGCCCGTGTTCTCCGGCAAGTCGAATCTGCATAATCAAATCATGGAAATTTCAAAGAAAACCACAAACACACACACACACACACACACAGCACGATCCAACAGTTCACAACATCGGTTGTACGGACGGGTATATCAACGAACGTGCAAAGCTTGTCGCAGACAGGAGCCAGTTGGTGCTACTTGATGGCACGATCAAACCTGATGGAATGGGTTGTGCGGGACGGCCTGACGGCTTGGTCATCCACACCAATGGTTGAAGGCGTCGGTTCGACGGACGGAATACACGGTGCGCTACGGACAGTTATGGCACGGTACCGGTGGTACGGTAATACCCGGCGGAGTACCGGTACGCCTGGCGGTACCTGTACGCGGGACGGCACGTTGATACGTAACGGCTTGGTTGTATGGGTCATACCTGACGAGCGTGTGAGGGTTGTTGGTGTAAATCCCCCTAAACATTGGTTTTCCGGGTAGTAGACTCGCTTCCCTTGCGTGTCCGCGTAGACGTGCATCGTCAGAAAGTCGCCTTCTGCCGGGTCGGACTCGATCACCGTCACGTGTCTGCGTCAATCACGTGGTACACAAATCGCCGCTGTTATTAAATAGTGGATCACAAGCGTAACGGGAATTAAATCGATCGGAAAAACATTTCTCCATGCACTGAATCGAAACACAAAAGTACTTGAATCGCACACGGCACGCGCCAGATCTGAAATGGTCCTGTCCCAAGATGACCCCCAGGACGACAAGACCAACGAGGGAACAACAGCGCATGGCAACAACAAGCATGACACATGCGTTTTCTGCTGCAAGAAGTTCTACCGCGCACAAGCGTAAAAAAAAAGTCGCGATTCCAGCAAAAAACACGTTCAGCTCAAACCATCCACAGCCCAAAATAAAAATGACAAACCGACGTGAGAAGGTCGGACATGATTCATGATGGTGTCCATGTTCACCTGGTTAACAGCACCCACACCGTAGCCGCCGCCGAGCCAGATTCCCCCGAACCGGCACTTGTTGCGCCGCTCTTGACGGAGAGCGATAGCTGCGGGTTGTCGCCGAGGTTGAAGGAGTCGTTCTTGGGACCGATCTCCACCGGCCACCGCAGGTGCGTCAAGTTCCTGTTGTATCATACCAGCGAGCAGAACGCACGCATCACGTTTCGAGTTCAGGGGAAAATATGAAATGGCTGGGAATGTGGGGAGCAAACGACGTGTATCGGCCAAGCTTTTTTTGGCCAGCTGCTGCAAGTGCACCGCCAACTTATCGTTAGCATGCAAAGCATACACGCAATGTATCTACACTTCGGTGTAGCTCAAAACCTCTCAAGTTTAGAGGGTCAGGGCTCCGGCTCCTGTTGTCATGGAGCCAGGGCTGGGAATACTGCTACTTTATGCGCACTCAAATCTCCCGATTCGAAACATGTCGAAGTTCAAGTTCATGGATACTGGCATCGAATCAACGTTGGGATGAGGGCCAACATTTGAGTTGTTTGGATCAGGGTACCGGAGATCCCCAAAATCGCAAGAGCTTGGGGTGAACCTTAATGGAGATATTGGGCTAGGGCCAGCAGGGCTAGCATTGGGGATATAAAACGGACATGTTGTGACTGGTATTCAGATTAACGAGCGTGAAAACATTTGGCAATTTAGGTACTGCACATGGCACCAGAGATATACAAGTCTACTTTTGTCGTACGCGGGGTGAAAAGTCATGTCGCAAGACCCAAAGAAAAGGGCGTAACGTAAACGGCGAGCCTGTGGTTGTTGTCGGGGGCGAGCCAAAAGAAACGCCGTTGTCAAGTCCAGGTGTTTGGCGTGTTGAACGTTCATGACAACGTATGAATAGAGCTGGCCTCAAGGGGCAATTATTGAAATGAGGGCTACAGTAGTAAAAAACCAGAATTTATACTCCGTATCTATTGGGGTTCCACTTAGTGGAGTCGACGGGCCAGGGATAGGTTCACGATGTTGCTAACGGCTAGGGTGTCCAAAATTCACCTGAAGCGGAAGGTGTTGGGATTCCAGTTAAGGAAGACGTGTCTGAAGTACTGCACGACGGAAGCGAAGTCCACCCAGAAGACGCCTTTGTCCTGCAGGGTTTGCCTCTCCTGGGGGGGGTAGTTGACTGCCCTGTGAAAAATGGCGACGAAAAACAGAACGGTCAAGACACGAGATCGATGACGATGGCATGACAGCAATCACGATCACACCACGGACGATAGCCTATGCAGTGGCCGATTGGAAAGTCGATAGGCGGGCCGTGTGGCCTATCGGTAGGTTTCGCTGTACTCAATAGGATAGTAAAAAGTCAGATCGACACCTCGTGGTTTGCTCGATAGGTTTTGGAATGCCAATATGATCGCATGCTGTAAACTTTTCTAATTTCAAACCTTTAGGTCGATCGATAGCAACGGGTCACGATGGCGACGGCAATATCTCGTGCCCCGAAGTTGGAGATTTCTTGTGTTTGCTAACCTTTTTTTCATGGAGTGACTGTATTTGGATGTCCGTTGCTTTGCGTGCAGGCAGAAAGGCACCATGGTTTGCTGCGGTGCACTGAAACAGAAGGAAATGAGACGGTCTGCAACCCGCACCCAGTTGTGTATTGAGTATTGAATGAACCGGAAATTCAATCACAGGCTGATAGGCTGACGAGGCCCCAGAAGTTGACGGTCCCTTTGCGCTGCTCTTCTCTCTCTCTCTCTGTCTCTCTCTCCCTGTCTCCCTGTCTGTCTGTCTGTCTGTGTGTGTCTCTCTCTCTCTGTCGTTTACCGTAAGGATGCGAGAGAACGCACAGGGGTGCGATCGATTTTCAACGCGTAAATTCTCCACAACCAGGAGGGTGCGAGCGCCAAATGATACCTCTCAGGAAAGCTATCGATGAGATATCTCCAAAACCACTCTTTTCGACAGTGGTACCCTCCTGGTTATGGAGAAAATACGCGTTGAAAATCGATCGCACCCCCGTGCGTTCTCTCGCATCCTTACGGTACACAGGGGACAAAAATGCTCTTCAGCACGTGCGAAGAAGCTGTCATCCTCTCGATTGTCTCTATTGTATCTTTGCACAAGGTAAACAAGGATTCTTTAACGAAACAAGGATTCTTTAACGATCACACCAGCAGCCAAGCGGGCTTATCCGTACATGTCGAAGAGCGCCTGCAGAGATACTTGGGTGCGGTGCAGATGGTTGGGAACCCTTCGAAGAACTAAGCATGTGGGTTCACTGTGCGAACCTAACATGTCATGGCTTGCTGTATTTTCAGACAGAACTTAAACGTGGTGGGTTCAAGAGTTCAACTTACGAGGTATTTGGTGTCAACGACGTCGTTGCGCGTGTGCGTAGGTGGTGCACGTAGAAATGGATGTATGATACCAAACGTATCGTCATCGTAGCAGTCACCACCTACAATACACGCAGATCAAAATCATGCAACGCACCCAGCTCAAAAACTACAGCAGTAGACGTGAAAAACGTGTTACAACGAATGGTAGCAGCCCGTTAGGCCCTGTTCTCGGCGACTTACCGTACGAGTGCAGGTGTCCAGTGGGGATATGTGCTGGAGTAAGCTCCGCGCCATCGCTTGGGACCCAAGGAGTCTTCCACCAAGGAGTCCTTCACCTGACAAAATGACAAAAAAACACATGCCGCAAGAGAAAAAGAGTCACGACCGAAAATCAAACCAAAGGTATGAAACAAAAAAGAGGGTTGATACATGAAGCAATAACGATCTATGACGAAAACGTCGAAGAGCACCAAACGATCGTGGACACATCAATGAGAATAAACCTGTGAACATGCGATGCTAAAAAAATGATAAGAGAGTGCCAACTAATAGTGAAATTGCGACATAAAAGTAAAATTCATGGATATAAACTTTTTGAGCCCCGACGCCTATATTGTCTTGAGACCCACACCTTCCTCCTACGGAGCACACGTTCAACCTTATCTCTACGATGGTAATCAATATACAAGAACGAGCCCGTGCCTTTTTCGTGTGTTGTCTTCGCTCTTCTCTACAATAGTGCTGTACTGGGCGTAAGGCCTGAGTCCAGTTGCTCTCCTTCGCGTGGCACAAAGGATTGACTTGACTCGAAACTGTTAACAAGAACTCTTTCACTTTTTTGTGTTGGGCTTAATTTGTTGTTCACGCCACCTGCAATAGCTTTGTGCCGTTGATTTCCTTCACGTCGAGAATGGCATAGGCGTGACTAGGCACCAGGCCCAGCCTCTCAGCCTCAGCCTCTGAAATCTCGCCTGGAGGATGGAAAACCAACACACGAAGCGAACAAAATTACCGACACTGTTGAAGAAGAATCCCTTATCATCAGTCGATCGTATGTACTATGGCCGAAGGGGGCAGCACCACCACAAGTACGCAGCAGAGGTAGGTGGCAACCCACAACCAAGCACGTTTGAGTTTCCTGGCCTTGTCCTGGCTTGCTGCCGACAACGGAAAACGTATGTACGTGTCGCTTGAAACGCATCGTTGAGGATGACACAATCGCCGAGGCTGTCCCGCATGCCGATAGTGCGGACAGGCAGTAAGGTAAGGGAATTCGGCAACGGTGGGACGGTAGAGGGACGATGGTCGCGGTCAACGTATCGCCAACACCTAACTTTGATTCTCAAGACAGTCCTCGATAATGAGACTATCTCCCGCGATACGCGCATCCTATTAAAACGATACCGGTAACGGTAAAACGATACCGATAGACATAATGCCAACAACAGTGCTTTGATCAAAACGTACAAGACAACGTACACGCCTGTTCGAGCGAAAATCAATGCCAGGTATCTGTTTGTCTCTACATGCTCAATGGAATGGTTTACGTACGCACCTGTCGCGATAGTTGCGAGGCAATCGCCGAAGCTGTGCGCCGAGAGGAGCCTCTGCCACACGCGTTCAGCGGTCGCGTAGTTGTCCAGCGGCTTCTGCTCTTGTGGAGCCGACGAGTGTCCTTTTGGTGGCCGGTGCTCCTCGAACAAAATCTTATAAATATCCACAACAGTCAGACCCGTTCAAAACAGTTGGAAGCACACAGAAAACACAGATGGAAAAATCTCCCACACATTGACGGGTACATTTTTTCACGCGATATGCTCGGAAGCGCCGCCTCATTGATGGCCGGTTTTTCTCGACAATTGCCTTGAATTTCACAAGAAAAGTTTGAAAAAATCTTTAATCAAGGTAGCGTTGTACATAGATACATAGAAACAATGTAACATTGTATCTGTAACACTAGTACAACGTTTCTGTTGAATCTTCGGTGGCCATTGCACCTCGAACTTCAAATGGAGGTTGTTCGGCAGATGTATGCACCACGTTCCGAGCTCTTCCATCCACGGCTTTCACACTGAATACTGCAGCGATGCCCAGAATTTCACTCGAATTTCCGCGGATGTTCCTGCATGACCTTATCCCAACATGGATAGCTATTCCGTTACGGCGAAACCCCAACCTGTTCCGGTATCCATCCGGTCAGCGCGAAGAGGTCGATACCGGAGTTGCTTCCAGGAAAGTCGTAGCCGCCGTTAACCTGCCACAACAACGCAAGAAAAGATACGGAAAAAAATCTGCTGGGAGGCCAGCCATCCCTACCCATCATCGTTGACCCCTTCCTACCAACTACAACTTTTGAGCGAGTATGTCCACGGTTCCATGTTCAACCACAAAGACAACAGATGGTTTCACTTCGATAGATCACTATTTACCACGTGAATCCTCAACCCGGCGTACAACTTGGAAATCTAGACGCGTGGGAACAAGGGGCACTCGAGTGGAATGAACGAATTTAAGCGCGACACCAGAAAAGAAACTTTGTCCATTAAGTGAAACGTCGATTGAGTGAAATATGAACTTGCGCACAGGTTGAACCCACATCGCCACGAATTGAGAGGTCACCATCCAGCTAGGTTGAATCAACTTCTCGGCCTTCCAATCACTACCCTCTACCCATGAGGTAGATACCCTTTTTCACCTGCATTAAGGTACTTGATTCACAGTAGGCTACACCTACGCGATTGCACGGCATATCACACCGTCACCGCCTTGTCTACTCGACTCACCGCACGCTCGTGCGCATGTTATTACTATTGCCGGGGTGCCCTTGCCGCAGGGCTAAATGTAACTCGACATGCGCTTTGCTTCACAACACAACCCCTCGAAAAGCTGATGCTATTACTGCTCCGGGATACCTTGAGATACGCCTTCTCTACGATGCTGACCCACAGCTCCGACTTGTCCGCCGAGGCGGCGCACAAGAGCCGACCACTGTCACCCGTCGGGAGCAGGTCATCCACGACAACCTTAGACACCGAAAACAAAAGACACAAGCAGATTAACGTTAACGCCGTAAACCTACTAGTAGCAGGTTGGAGATCGATTCTCTAGGTGAAAAACGCTTTGCAATTTGCGGTGGGTACCGCCTAATTTGACAGTATTGTATGCATATACACACTCACTCTCAACGAGGGAAAGGGACGGCTGAACGCAAACGTTACTCCGCAAAAAAAAAGCCACAATACAATTTAGCGCCAGAAACGTCGACAACATCCTTTCGCCAAAAGAGGATACGGAATGGCATTGGGGCCTGTACACCGCCCCTACTTTTCAACGAGTACCGGTCAACATTGGCCAACAGGTACATTAAAAAGTGCCGTAGTCGTTGCCATGGTCAAACAGATCCATTCATATTATATATGATACAAGGTTCCCTCCCCTTCGGGAGGTATGCAGGCGATTTGCCTCCCGGGGGCGACGCAAGAGGACACGGCCAATCAATGCCATCGCGGTCGCATGGTTGGTCGTCGTAACGTTCGATAGTGCCGGCTTGCGTGCAACCTGCATACTACACTAATTTGCCTGGAATGTGCACCATATGTGCGGGGTATTTTGTTTGCTCCCGCCGTGACTTTCCCTTATGCGCGAGTGAGTGGTTTTGGCTATTCTAGCGGTTTGCTGCAGGTCCTACGGTTGCAGTCCACTGTGTTTGATCACTTTCTCTTCTTGTGTGATCATGTTTCCCATGGTCTGTGAGACTTTTTCACGCATACACCGACAACAACGGATCAAAGAGACGCTCAGTGTGCCCAAGAACAGTCACAGAAAGATGTACTGCTGCTATACAATAGACTGTTACCGTACCAAACTTCAATATTTGACTTTTTCGATTTTTCGGAATTGAAATGTACAATTTTACCGCTGCCAGAGTTGTGCGAGAAGACTTCTGTGTCGCGTGGTGTGTTCCCATGAGCATCAAGAGTCTTGATCCCCGCTGTGGGTACGCATTCGCCAGTTACTGTGTGGTGGTTGTGTGCACAACAATGACAGCAGCAGGCATGTGGGCGCGTGGGCGCGTGGCGCGTGGCGCGGGGTAAAAAACGTTGTGTTTTAGTTTTCGTGCCGTTCGAGGAGCCTTTTATGGTTCGGATTCCCAACCCTTGAAAAAAAAGCTAGTCCCAGCGACTTCAGACGGCCCTAACGCGCACCATTGGTGTCTCGCGAGCCCCACAGGTAACAGGTAATGCACTGACGGGTCCTCTGCGTGCCGTGCAGAAGAAAGTGCGAGAAAAAAAATCTTTTCCAGAGGAGAAAAACGAATGCGAAGAGAACAAAAGTCGAAATCCTACGTATGCATACGGGGGGTCACCTTTATAGCCATTCCGTTCACGTTGAGCTTCACGATATACTTGCCCGCAGGATTGTACACCGGCATCCCGCGTTCGTCCTGCTTCACGGCGACATCAACACCACGTCAGGAACAACCGCAAAAGCAAGAACGAGGCTGTAGCCACGGAAACCGCCAGCACCTTGTTCGCACCAGGGTAGCAAAAACATGAGGAATCACCTCGCAGCAGCAGCTTGTCGTGTCAAAGAAAGTCCTGACGGTGTGAGGACAAGAGGCGTGCCTCAGAATAGAATCGTGCTCTTGTGGCCGCCGGTGCTTGCGGTTCAGGACTATTGGGGCGATGTGATCATGCTGATGTCACTTACCGCTTCTTGTCATGAGTCAGTCGCTTGGATGATGTATTGACAGGCGCTGTGCTTCGCAGCAAGAACCCTATCGATTAGACTCGAGGGGCTTTTAGGAGATTCTACAGCGATGTCGTTCCAAACGCTTTGGCCATGCTATATCGTATGTTTCGATAAGCCTGCGGCCAACAACGGACGTTCTGACGTATGCCATCGTTTTCTCATCTAAAAGCAGACGAATGCAAATGAACTGAAGAGAGGGCAGAAACGTGGTCAAATGTCAGGAAACAGCAGCAACAGGGACGACAAGAAGGTTCGTGTGCCATGCCTGTGGAAATATGATGCCGGTGATGAGCTGCTTGTCGAACCGCCGCTCATAGGCCGAAGCAACGCACAGGGACGCCACTAGGCTGCTGTCCGTGACGAGGTTCTGCCGGATGCTGAAAGGGTCCAAGTTGCCGATCATGTGGGGCGTTCCCGGCATCACTTCCGACGGTCGCTTCCACCTACGTACGACAGATAGATGGGATGCCGCGAAAAATATCCCAAAAAGGAAGAGGAATGTGCTGTCAGACGTACGCCGTGCTAGGCCTCTACACAAAAACACAGTAGCCTTCGAAGGGTTTTTCCATTAAGTAAAAATGTTGGATAAAGTGTGCAATCGGGGAAGTTGGGATGGGGTTAGGGACAGGGTCTGCTTCCCTTGCCTGTTCTATTTCCTCAAAAAACACAACTTCTCGCGAAGGTGGTCCCAAAAACACCACCTCGGAAGAAAAGCCCAGCGGAATAGGTTAGTCATACAGATCTACTAATAGCGCACGAACAAAAGCATAAACTGTCCTGGAAAACCCTGCAACGGAAAATGTTTAGAGTCGTTCCGTGGACAAGAGCAAGTCAAGAAAACTATCGTTTCTCAGGTGAGGTCGTCAACAAAGTACCAGACAAAGTAGTTCCCATGAAGTGTTGTGGTATGGCCCACACAACACACAAGACCGTGATGGCGATCATGAAAAGTAGCGAACTGAGACACAAGACCAAAACAACACATTGCCGCCAAAATCCATGGTACTGAAGAAGGTATCACAGCACGTGCAACGTCGCACCACAGTGAGGGTAGCGCGTACCACACACACAAGTATTCGTGGCATAAAAACACCACAAACATGGCATGGACACGGCATAATCCCAACTACAACGGCCGCGAGTAAAGGTCTACATAGCGTGTCCTGATGTAATATCGATACACTGTATCGAGCGGTTTTCGGTCCTCGAGTGAACGACTATATACGACTGCACTATCCTGGACGATGATAAAAAGACATTGAACCTCGGGTAACATGAACGTACGCTTGGGGAATGACTTGTTCCAACGCGAAACATCGTCACAATTGTTGGTGACAACAACACAACAACATGCTCAACGTGCTCCAGAATGGTGTGCGACATATTCGAGCGAGAGTATCTTTATGGTCCAGAGTGATCCGCAAACATACCAATGTAGCTTAGATCGGGTACGAAAGTTGTCATGGAGTGAACATCAGAACATGTGTTTGGTGCATCATTGCAATGCTAGTGAGATTTGGCAAAACAACATCTGGTTCCGGGGGGAAAACTTGAGTACCGCGACAGTCTAGTCCGATCATTGCACCCAACAGGAGCACCCCGCGTTGCTTCGAAATCGTTCTCCGGGGGAATGTGATCTAGATCTCACCCAGTGAGGTTTACCCGCAGACGTCCCGAGAGCCGAAGACGGCCGTCCGGATCCTCCCACGGCTTGTCAAAATCGAACTTTTCCTGGAAGGAAAAAGAAGGAAAAAGAAGGAGCGGAAGAAAGAAAGAAAGAAAGGAGGAAAGACGATTTAAGAAAGAAGGGAGAACTACTAACGCAAACAGCATGGAAGACAAAACTCGAGTAATCGTCTGTGCATTTGTGGGTCATATTTTTCCGGGCCCGTTCGAGGCTGGCCAGAAGTGAATTTCTTCTCAAAAGGACGGGCAGAAGGAATTTGAGGAAACAAAAAGAAGAAACGCGACGAAGATCGGAAGTTAAGAAGAAAGAACGCTTGAAACATCAGTCAAAAAAATACTTTGGAATCCTTTGGGCGGAGCAGAGGACCGTGCAAACCCGGGCAGGGGAAAGCTTTCGGCTGAACGAGCAACCTCTCAGATTTTCAAACAGACCGATACTCGACAACGGCATCAACAGCACCAGTCTTACCTTCAGGTCTTCCGCTACCCAAGGGAGGAAGAGCTTCCCGTTAACCATGGCGCTTTCCTTGAGAACCTCGACCTCCTCCGACGACAGGGTACCTTGGGATGATCTCACCGCTGATCTACTCGTAGGATAGGATACGAGGCAAACAACGCCGTTTTTGTCAGGTATGGATGGGGTCATCGTGTAGAACATTTGTCGTCGTCGGGTAATGGTTGTTTTTCACAATTGTTTAGCCAACCTTACGGATATAAAGGAAGAGCTCCGACCCGGGGCACAGAGGAACGGTTCTTCTACGTTGCACGCCTCGCGCCGATTCTCCTTCCACGGCAAGCACCCTTCAGTTCCTCCCGGTAGATGTGCTCACAATCAAGCGCCTTCTATGGGCGCAGGATGCTGCTGCTGTACGAGTGTGGTGATGCTGGAGAGGTCACCTTGGGAGGGTACGTTGTCGGGGACCTCTCACAATGGATAACACACACACAACGTCTCCTAGCATGATGAAAACTCGTGCATTCAATGACGATGATAGCACATGCCGACTATGAGGATGGTGATGCTGCCCATGGCGTAATATCACGAAAGACGAAAAAACTCGGAAACTGACAGGCCGCGAATGGTGCTAACCGTACGACATCCCATGTCCACACAAATGTAGAGGTAAAACCTAGCGTCGGTCCTTTGGAGATACGGTTTGGGCTCCTGAGCCGAGATGGATTCAGACCAGACCTCTGAACGAACATGGTGCACAAAAAAAAAACCATGTACGTACAAGGAACACTCGCACGTTCGCTTGCTAAGGATGCACATGAATTTGGTCGATGACGCCTTCGGTTACCGACGAGCGTCGTCCAAACAAGCCGAGCCATATCATACCAAGCCGAGCATTCCGAAACATACCCCATCACATCCACACCAACCAAACCAAAAAGCCACAGAACCACGCCTGCTATGAACACGTACTCTCTTAAACCTGAAACTTCACCATAGCCCCGAACACACCTTGGACGGCCGACTGACTCCCCAGGCTGCTGCTGCTGCTGCTGCGTCGGGGTGGCTTGCGTAGCCTCAAGGATTCCAAAAAAAGATATGCATATGAGGATATGATCATCAGGGGTGGATCAGGGGTGGGTGGACGTACTCGTATGTTGTGCATGCCGTAGCTGTTAGACCATTGACCTCGCGTCTTCGAGAGGACGGAGCATTGTTCCCCACAGGACCAATCATCGACGGCCAATTGTACCTTCCTATTTTGCCAAAGGTGGCTCAGGCGGTGACACAGCTGAAGCAGTGGTAGGGGAGGGGGCGGAAACGCGAATACCTGGTAGCTGATAGGTCGAGTCAGGGTGGGACTGGCATCCAGAGAAGAAGGTCTAACGTAAAGGCGGCTACCAAACGTCAGCTCAGACAGCTCGAGTTGGGACGCGCGACACATGCATACTGCTGTAGCGGAAGAACAACAGCAGTCTCGGTGCTGCTTATCTTGGCAGCTGTCGTGAGCCCTACACAGCAAGCACAACACAAAACGCTGTACATGCGTCAAATTATGGCAGAGTTCACACCAAAAGTCTACACGGTCGGTGCACACCCAACTTTCGCCCTAAAAAACACCAATATTTGGCTGGAATAAGAGCACGATGCATATGTGAAAATTCTGAACACGCATCTGAGAGGACCCACAAGAGGATGATTAATATGTGAGAGTACCGTTAGAGTCCGGCAGCCACCCCTATAGTGCACTTTTCCCTTCCCACCCCCGGAAATTGTGGAACAGCACCGCCGCCTGCATACTTCTTGTTCCCGTCACGGGGCTTAAAGCTGCTGAACTCAGCGCTCTCTAGACGGAACGGTGTTTCTGGTACCAACGAAGAAGTCGATCAAAAAAATCATCAAACCACTTGTCCGGTCATCGTTCCCAACGTCAACCGAACATTTTGACCCGAAACTGGGGATGCATGAAGCGCGTCCTCCGGGTGGGCAAACTTTTTCCTGCTTTTGCTCACAACTTGAAATAAATAACTAAATGTCTGTTTCCCAGCTGGCCAAGAACGCCCTTAAACCCTCTATTGACTTGTACCTCAACCGATGCGTGGTGATGACCAAAAAACAATATGGAAGTGTACTTGTCACCGTCTCACCTTCACAACCCCCTTGAGAGCCTTGAGAGCCTTGAGAGCCTTCGCCCTCGAAAGCACGTCTGACTGTTTCCTCGTCAGCCTCGCCTCGATGGCCTTTGCGCCGCTGTCCTTGTCGTCTCCCCCCCCAGTCTGCCGCTCCAGCGTCATCACCGCCGCGAAATAGTGCTGAAAAAAAGGCATGGTTGTTTACCAGGTATTCACGGACACGGGTGCGTACCACACGATGCCACAGCCCAAGAGGGAAGGGGCGTAAACGTTACAATATGTATTCAGGCAGAGTAACCGAAAAGGCGGGTGGAGTGTGCGCAAGAGGCCGGGAGGTACTTCAGCCGGGTTTTGCCGCGATTTTTCGTGTTTTTTCGTCAGCGACCGCCGAGGGTACTATGATACTCAGATTTTCTAGGCACGAAACGGCACATGTGTCGCCATGCAACAGAGATGGGGGAAGCGGAGGGTACTATCAACGGTGGAATACTAGCTGCATGTGCCAGACACAGCGTCCCACCAGGAGCGCTTGCTTCCCATTCTCGCCCAAAATTGCCACGTGTGCAATATTGCGTGTTTCCAGACGTTTTTCGCTAAAGTGTTCAAAAGGGAGAATAACAAAAGTCTGATTCAAAACAGCCCATCGAAATGTCGAGTAGTTGCCTGGGAATGTGACGTGTGACGAGGGGGTTCACGCCCAACCACGTTAACAGAATATCACGGAACTGGCAACGCGTTTCACGAAATGCCTCACATGGGACAGCACCGACAAGTCCGGGGGTATCTCAAGAACGTATTGCAGGATGGGGATAGGCCTTTCTTTCACTCAGTGCTTGCACATTTACACTTCTGCTGTCTAGGCCTGCGCAGCCCTGTGCATCATCGCTTAGTCTTGGTGAGTATACACCGACAATAATAAAGCACAAATATGGCGTTGCCCCGCACGCGAGACTTGTCTATATTGCCTACCCCCGCCCCCCTTCCGCGCGAGGAAACAAAACAAATATCGGTGGCCAAAGAGCTTGAAACACCATCTGGTTGTACAGCCGTGTGGGGAGAGCTTGTCGTGCAGCAACGGCACTGCTAGCTAAACACACAACAGGTAGATGCCGTACATGACGCCAAATACCACCCACTCCTCTTGTGATGGCGCCAATGTTCGATTCCTCCGCAAGGGAGAGCTTCACACGGAGGTGTTGGATACCCACCCACAGGCAGCCAAAGGCTTCCCTAAATTGCAACGTGGAGCCTGAAACTCGCGGAAACAACGCCAGGTGTGGACGAAGAGGGAAACAAATATTACCTCCTCCCGTGCCCCCCCAAAACATTCGCTTTCATACCTCTGCCGCCTGGCTGTAAGCAGCCAACGCCTTATCCTTAGCCCCAGCCTGTGCCCACCCCGTCCTCCGTCCCTGTTCATCTAACCCCGTCGCCGTGGTTAGTGCGCTGTCCCCTTTTTTCTCATCTGTAGGCCAAGCAATGACGCATGGATATTGACGTGACAGGGGCATTCGCAGGCCGTTCTCTCTTTTCATTGTTTCCTTACTCGAGTCATGTACATGTTTCACCCAACAACAACGAGTTCGTGCGGCCACTGCGATCACTGTTACCTCTTCCACCAAGTATGTGCCGCCCTCCGCCAAAAATCCCTTCCCGTCCCACGCACACACCTTCATCCACCTTCGCATATACCCTGCTTGAGAGCGCTCCCTCTGCTGCTGGTGCCCTGCTGGCACCTCTCAATACTCCGGCGTCGGTAGAGAGCTGCGTGACAGGCTTGGTTGCCGGTGCCTCCGGAAGATCCGCCAAGTAGTCCGGCAACCCTCCCCCCCCACTCTGCCGAAATACAATCTCCGTGACCCTCTTCTGACATTCCTCGATGCTGTCCGAGAGGAGCTTACGCACCGTATTGGACAGGCTCGGCGCTTGCAGGGTCCTCCTAGCGCAGGCGATGTGTTCCTGATCGTCGGGGAGATAAAGAGACGGGGGAGGAGGAGGATGGGAGCCTTAGCCTTTTGGGTGTTTGCTTAACAAAACGAATTCTAAAACACGCCGCCAAGCACGGTAACATATAGTGTACCTGTGGCCAAGAAGAGCCTACATGATCCACGAGAGCGAAAACAATAATGAAGCATCAATCTCAAGAATCATCGAGGGTCGTGGGTTAGGCACTTGTTGTCCTACCCACCGCTACACTTCTGTTTCTCTACATTACCAGTCCGTACCGCAGAGGGTTGAACCTGCAGACTGTTACAGTCAAATGGAACGATTTTGGTCGGAGTCGAAAAGTGTTGGAAACGGGTATGAACTCTAGGCTCGCTGGCTGGAAGACGGCGGCACTCGGCAATTGGCCGATTGGCGCATCATCATTGTCGTCGCCATCGCCCTTGTCCAAACACAGAATCAGAAGGGCGGCCAATCCTGGAAACAACCCTGAAAGAAGCAGGACACATCTGTTTACATGCCAGACAACCTCTACAGTAGCCCAGAGCGCCTGAGGAGCATGAAAAGCAGCCCTGGAACCGCTTGTGGAAACAATATTTACTGTTGAAGGACGAGAGAATCGCGCGCGACAAACGATTTACCAACGCATCGCGGTGTTGCGCTACCGATACGTAAGACAATGGCGCACACGCTCACCGCGTGAAATACCAGGTGCACCATTGTGGAAGAAAAGTGAAAAGTGCAAATCCAACTTCATTCAGTGTGCAAGCCTACATAGGCCAGCAGTTTTCCAGTGGCACTACCGTACAAATGTACGAAAGTGACTACACATGTAAATGCACAAGGTACACACCTTGTACAGAACGGCAGCTTCCTGGGTATTGCCGGCCTCGTCCAATGACCTCGCCCTCTCCGCCGCTGTGAGGCCGCTCGCTTGGGTGCCGCCTGCCGCATCACCCATATAAATGCTGGCCCACTACAGCGTACTGTAGTCTCGACTACTGGTGGTTCTTGTACCCGTCACTCCCGCGGCCGGGGAAATACAAGCCCCGTCTCTTTTAAGATCTTCGGTTAATTTTTCGTTAACAGGCAGAGTGGGGCGGTGTGCTATTGTCATAAGCTGATGGTCTTGGCAGTCGCGGTAGAAACACACACACACGCAGAGCGAATCGTCAAGAAGGTTGACATGCAGGCAGAAAAACTACTGGTTGATAGTGTACCATATCACGGTGCTTGCTCCCGCACATCCATGAACGATGCTTACAACCGCCGCGGAGTTATTCTCCGTGTGCCGTAACAACAGCAGTGCTGCTGCGGGATCATCGTCTTAAAGTAGGTCACTTGCCCATTGTAGCATCTACTGCTGTAGTAGGCTACGTCAGGACGAAGTTACAGCACCGCCTGCATATTCTATTATAGGTACGATTTGCGCAAGAGCGAACATCGCGAAACCGAAAGCACGTGCCCAGGTGTCTAAAAAGGATATACCCATCGACAAGCATGGTAACCATGGTGTGCACCTGTATTGTTGGTGTGCAACCCCCCATACAAAACCCACCTCCGGCATGCGTCTAAGCATCTAATACCGTATGTAGCTAGCCTGTGGTGGTACGCAAAACGGGTCGACTTGTGGGGAAGACGGGATCCAATATTTCCAGTGTACATAGCGTCACCATCACTACGCCATTCGTAAACAACGCACGGGAGCCCATTGCGTGTGGGGGATATCAATCCGCACGCCTACTGCAACTGGTTTGCAGGAAGAGAGCAGTCACACTGCACTTTTGCATGCAAGTCGGATGCTGTTGCGGAGGAACTGACGGAACTTCACAATTGTTCAAACGTTCGCTAACACGATACCCAGCTGCTGATCAATGGCGGGTTGAGTGATGTTAGCACACACGTAACCTCTGAAACAACCACTAGATACAGCACCTTCACTTTCCTGTTCGCTCGGCTAGTGTTGGGAAGAGAGCCGTGTTGGTATGGTGCGGCTCTGGGCGCTGGCTCTGTGGGGGTTCAGACATTCAATGGGGACACCCCGATTCTTCACTGATTCACGCCGCCCCCACCAGACAGATGGACGATGGAAAGTGAAGCGCATCCTGTGTATGTCAGTCCGCTTCTCTTCCCACATACACACATTGCTGAGAGAGAGCACGCATGGGGGAGCCCACGAGAAAGGAAAGTGAAGATGATGTGGTGCCGGGCGGTGATTCTCTAACGTACAGTAGGCATCTCGAATGCGGTCGCATTAATTGGTTGAATTTGAAATTTTGAAAAAAAATTGAACGTCTAGAATATTTCTAGACTAATACTACTACTGGTTTGAGCAACGCTGTGCTATACTCGCGTTGTACTACTGTAATGTACGCATATGTACGTTCAAGAACCCATGTTCCTGAGCAAGACCACAGCAGCGCCGGCCCGCTCGAAAGGATAAGGTTCACCAATTTTCAGCGAGGCTCAGTGTTTTCGAGGTGTCGTAAAACGAGTGAGCAAAGCTACCGTACGAATAGGATAAGGGTGCCGGCGGCCGAGCCCAATATCTTCCGCCGCTCTTCTTTGTACCGCCGCAGCAGTAGTGTACCACTACTAGCACTTGTATTCGACAAACGTGAGCCTCGGTTTTTTGTGAAGATGTCTCTTGTGAGCGGGCCGGCACTGTATGATACCCAATGTCATGAAATTAAGGCAGAGACACACCCGGACCGCTTGGGAGTGTTCGTCTGTGTGTTTTCTGTCTCGCTCATGGAACTGGTGACGGTGGGTTAACCAACATAATAGCCCGGGCGTTGCCCCGGACTCAACTGAAGCGCTGTTCCTCTTTTCCAGGGACGGCATCTTTGTGGGGTAGTGTACAATGCGAGTTGCTCTGACGTGATGAACGAAATGAAATAAAGGGAAAAGCGCAGGGGCAAAGAAAGACAGTTGAACTGACCTCACCGATAACCGTGAGGCCTAGTGAGGCACAAGGGAAAATTTGTGTTATGCGGTTACAGTAGTTCACTTGGTTTTTCTGTATGGTCAGAGGGAGAAAATTCTTTGTGTGGTTATGTAGTCCCCGCGGCAAGGAGAAAGCACGAAAACCGCGATAGCCGGTGACGATGGATGCATACTCTTTAGGAATCTAAGCCCCGTAATCCGTGACATAAATTAGCGGAAGAGGGCGGTGGACACGACTACCTCAAGAATATTCCACCCTCTCCGAAACCTCCAACAGGTACGAGACAACAGGCTGACTATCTGAAGTGCTATATCAATCTTTCAAACGCAAGCATTTTACATTTCAGCAATCGATCGCATTAAACGGCAAAAGACGCCACAAAGCTAAATCGGCGCCCAACAGCCATCTGATGACCAGATCAGCCCATGATCCGCTGCACCCTGGCGAGTGCCGGGGTCGTGTAGATGGTGATTTCGTAGTCGGCCTTCTGTGGCCTAAATGACGACACCACGGCTACGTACTCCCCGGCCTCAACCTCCACGCTCTCCGTAACGGCCCCCGCGCTCGAGTCCATGTAGACCCCTCCATTCGACGACGCTATCGCGAGGTTGGAAGTCGGTTGACACTTGGGGTTGAGGGAAATCCTCCCGACACCTCGGTGCATGCCGCCGGTATCCTCGGGGGGTCCCGCGGTGCTATCACCCCCCCCCTCCCTCGTGGTTGGGAAGAGCGTGATGTTGACCGCGGGCCTCCCCTCGGGGAAGGGTCCCGCGTTTTCTGGGATTACGACGCGGAGGAGTATCGACGCTCGGGACGGTACGGTGAAGAGATACCTAATAGCAGAAAGAAAGAAGCAAGTGCGGACGGGCACGGGGGGGGGGGGAGGGGGCATGCTTACTCTCTAAGTAGCCATGCACTCTCAGTTGACTACGCGTCCCTTTGAAGCGAAGCAAAATGCTTCCTAGTCCTGAACGCGGTGCTTTAGGCGTCTTGAGCGCCGAAGTTGTGTTGGGGTCATTCTTGCCTTCGGGAGGAGGGGAGGGAGGCCGGGGAATGGTCCCGGATATCGTAAATGTACGTTGTCGCTGTTACTGGCCTTCCATTACGTCGTCCGTATGGATCCTACAGGGTATTTCGTATGGGCAGCACGTATGACACAGCAACAACTGCACGCGGCATCGTAGGATGGCCGACAAAGCAATCACAGACAAGTGCGACCTTTTTAGCGGAATGGAGACGACGCTTTCTTCAACTTGCGAGGCGAGGCAACCTCCAACGGTGGAATTCCACCCGTGCGTAGCTCAACAACACGGATCATCAGTGATTCGCGTCCACACCCTCGTTGACCTAGCTTCGTGTGTTTCAATCGCACTGTTCACGTCGTTCGTGAAACTCACCAACAAGTCGTTCTGTCCTTGAGCTGTACGGGAAAAAAGAAAAAACAAACATCAAAGGCGGTCACCACCAATCGGTTTATGCACCGGACCGTGTTACTCATGACAAATGCGAGAAATATACAGGGAGAAACAGCGTGACTGCCACGCTAGGAGCTATAGCCCGTGTTTGGACACAAAACCTATCTTTAACTCATCGCGAAAAAGGTTCGGCGACCATTGTTCCCGTGTCGAGTGTGCTGGCAGAAATGCCTTTCTGTCTCTCTATCTCTCTGTGCGTGCTGTCGAGGGAACCTGAAAAATAGGTTTCAACACCAGTAGGATGTCCTGGTTGTTTACAAACCTTGGGTTATCGAGGTATCTGCCGAAGTTGCCGCAGCCCGCTGCCGTGCCATCATCTTGTCTCCATCGCCCGCGCACCACCTGATAAAAAATAATGACGTTATCAGCTATCTCCTTCACAAACGCATCAGTTCTGAAAAGTAACAAGTACAGAAAGCCGCAGAGAGAGAGACAGAAAGAGAGAGCTCACGGAAGAAGGAAAGTGACACTAAAACCTAAAAGAAGACACAGAACTGATCGTGCAGTAAGAAACTCTAGAAACAAGCTGACTATCATAGACAAACCGCGCAACCGTTGATTACACACAATTACATACGAACACGACGTGGAAGAAAGCTCCCATAGCACGTCACAAGCAACAACAAACGGTCTTTCCCGGATTAAGCTATTTATTCGAGTGAAGCAGATGCTCATTTTGATATCACTATGATATTGAGTCATTTCGCCATCCGTGTCTGGCATTCATCAAACAGACAGTTGTCCAAAAACAATGGTACCACGTAGCTTACCTGCTTAGATGTCATGCCTTCCCCCTCCTGTGGGATGCGGGTAGGGGGCCTCACCGGACTCGTCGTGCACAGCTTTGCCACGAACCCCGCCACCTATCAAACGATATGCAGCCGCGGCAAGCGGCGAGAAAATAACACGGGTCTTTGCCTTTCTTTTTAATTCTTGGCATCGACAACAAACTAAGAAGCCAGTTCAAATATCGACTCATGTGAAAAGACTCGAGAATGCTATTATCAGAGAAGGGGATATACGTGGCCATTGCCTATTACTGTACAAGTACAGAACCGTGTCTTGTCGCACACACCTGGCCCGGTTTGTAGGTGCTGAAGATAACAGTGTACGTTCCCGCCGGCAGAACGTTTTCCGCGTAACAGAAACCCTGCCGGTATGAGCCCGTCGTCATCACCTCCCGCTCGCTCGAGACAGAGTCAATCCGCATTCCTCCTTGCGACACCACGGTAGCGTTGATCTGAAACTAAACATGCCGTGCAGGAACGGAAGGACAAAATACAGGCACGCAAAGCAAGCCATGAAGCATCACAAAACAATATGCTTTGGCCGTCACTTTGTAACCCATGTAACGTAAAGTAATTCCGATCTGCCAGAAGACACAAAAAAAAACGTGCGGTGTGTGAAAACCGATGTTGGCTGCGCTCACGTCTTTGGGTGCCCTGACTTCGATGTGGACCTTTGTTTTTTGTGTGAGCACAACCGCGTACTGTGGGTTGGTGTAGAAAAGCGGTCTCCCCAGTGCTCCCCCCGCACTGCTTTGATCCCATGCGCCCTGGAACAATAAACCAGGCAGACAAAAGAAGTAACAGGGGGATGATACAGGGTGAACGACCGATGGAACGAGAGGTAGAGGGAGAGAAAAAGGAGAGGAAGAGATGGGGGGGCGGGGGGACAGCGAGAGAGAGAGATCAGTCGAATTAATACCTACGAGCGCATTGTGACAATCAACCCGGCCAACCTACACTTCATCCACACCTAACACAGCTGCTACCACGACCAGTGCTACATGTTTCATCGGCTAGCCAGGGCTACTCTGGACGGACAAGCGTCAGCTCCAGCGTGGGGTGAGTCAACGAAACGGAACTATCATGCTGCGCCTCGGTAGTGCTGTGTACGAGCCAATAATAGCCGTAGCAAGGTGTGGAATGTCCTTTCACCCTTCGGTACTCACAACGATAGACCGCGCGTGTTCGGGAGCTGTCGGAGTATGGTACAGCTTGAAGGTGTCCGAGCAGTAGACGTTAACGGAATACCTTTCCGCAACGAAAGAAAGGAACAAAGAACGAAGCAGACATCGCGACGGACGCGAGAGGAAATTGATGCACCAACAGAGGTGAAATCAACATACACTTCGCCAGCAAAAACGACAAGGAGTGGTTTGTTGTTATCACATCGTACGAACCTTACGGCAAGTCTCCGACGACGTCATGCTGATACAATGAGATACCAAAGCAACAATCAAGATTGAAGAACAAGAAATTGGGACACAAAAGCGAACCATGGCGACACAACAAAGCAATTGGACCCAATTGAACATTACATCAGAACTTTCAAATACCACCATCACTGCTGTGTACCATCACATTTTCATCCATCTTTTTTCGCATCTATCTCATGTTCCCTGGTTGTTACTCGTCTGGTTTCCGCTAACAGAAAAGTACTAGAAAATAGGACAGGAAAGGACGAAAAAAAAACACAGACACACACAAGAACAAGGAATCCAGCTATTGTCACTCGTCTGTCTCTACTTGTTACCTGACTTCTCTCTTCTTCTCGTACTGGCTGACCACGAGCGTGTAATCGACCCACTTGTCCGTGGAGCCCGTATTCTCCGGCAAGTCGAATCTGCATCATCAAATCATGGAAATTTCAAAGAAAATGATCCACACCAATGGTTGAAGGCGTCGGTTCGACGGACGGAATACACGGTGCGCTACGGACAGTTATGGCACGGTACCGGTGGTACGGTAATACCCGGCGGAGTACCGGTATGCCTGGCGGTACCTGTACGCGGGACGGCACGTTGATACGTAACGGCTTGGTTGTATGGGTCATACCTGACGAGGGTGTGAGGGTTGTTGGTGTAAATCCCCTTGAACATTGGCGTGTCCGGGTAGTAGACTCGCTTCCCTTGCGTGCCCGCGTAGACGTGCATCGTCAAAAAGTCGCCTTCTGCCGGGTCGGACTCGATCACCGTCACGTGTCTGCAAAACAAGGAGAACACGCGAAAACAACGTGGTGGTGGCTGTTACCGCAGGACTTGCCTCATCTGTCAACGACAAAGTAGCAACGGGGTTGACAAGTATCTGTTGTTGCGTTAGGTTACGTAGTAAATACAGGGTAGCGTTTCCTGTCAGTTACAGGTTTGATGAAGGCAAAACAAGCAAAAAGAAACTTTTGCACAGAATCACAAACAGCACGGCGGGTTGCATAAGATACCATGCCCCCGGACCGTTCTCCAAGCTCGAGCTCCAGAAATCTGCAGCAAAAGCAGCGACGGCGTTGGAACCGTCTCCTCGAGAGGTTTTCGAAAACGTATCATTTGGCTCTTGAATCCTCGTTGTCGTCGAGTAATCGGGCTTTAAAAACAATCGGGGGTGTGGTATTTTGTGCAACCTACGGGTGGTCAAGTCACATGCGGCACGCACCAAGCTCACAAAGGAGTCCAATTGGTCCAAGCAACAAGAAAAACAGCTTGATAGCAACCGCAGACACGAAACGACACAATTGATACCAGCTACAACACCACAAACGCCCGTCTGTTTCGCTTTTCCACATGAATAATTCTGCCACAAAAGCAAACAGCGTCTTCATACATTTCAATCGCGAACTCGAAAAGGACACAAACAAGCGTTACGGGAACCACAACAACAAAAGCAAAAAAGCCAAACATTGAAACGAACACACATTGTCTGGTGTCCATGTTCACCTGCTCAGCAGCACCCACACGGTTGGAGACTGCGTGCGTGCCACCGCCGCTGCCGCCCCTCCCGCCGCGGCAGCCATCGCCGAGCCGGATGCCCCCGAAACGGCATTTTTCGCGCTGCTCTTGACGGAGAGCGATAGCTGCGGGTTGTCGCCGAGGTTGAAGGAGTCGTTCTTAGGACCCATGTTCACCGGCCACCGCAGGTGCATCACGAACCTGTTGTTTCAGCACGTAGAACGCACGCATCGCGTTGAGTTCAGAGAAAACAAGAAAAATCGCTGGGAGAGAGGATAGGGGTCCACACCAATGAGACCCTACGAACAATACGCGTTTGGACTTGAAACGCGTACCATTCGTCGGGCCTGATTGTTGGCCAGCTCTACTGCAAGTGTAGCACAGCATCTATTCTGTGTAGTTTGCAAATATTCGCATCTCACGTGTATTTTGGCTTCAAGTCACCCCAAGGTGAAAGGTTCGCCGTTTTCACTCATATAGACACGGAGCTAGGGCGGGAAGACTGCTGCTATGGTTAGGGGCCGCAAAATCATCTCCACCTGAAGATGTAGGAATTCCTGGTCATAAACAAAATAGGCTAGCGGTGCAGTTCCTGTTTGAGGCAGGGGCGGGCTAGGGTGTCCAAATTCACCTGAAGCTGAAGACGCTCGGATTCCAGTTCATGAAGACGTTTTTGAAGTACTGGAAGATGGATGCAAAGTCCACCCAGAAGACACCGTTGTCCTTGAGCATGGCTGTTTCCAGGTCGTACTTCACGGCCCTGGCGATGGAAGTGACGATGGAGAGGCAAAATGACAAAGACAACGGATGGTCGCGGTGATGGTGACAATTACAACGGCAATGGTAACGGCGATGGTTTCAATGCCGACGACGATGATGACGACAGTCACATGGGCAACGCCAAAGTCATAGATCATGATGAAAACATCCATCTCAACGGCCACAACAATTTCGGCAATGATAGACAGAGATGATGACACGCCAATGACAGTGACATTGGTAATCACACTGGCAATCACGCGCTGATGAAGACGCACCATGATGATCGGAGTGTCAATGTGTGCGTGTCCGTCCCATCTATCCTGGCGCCAGTCTACTCAGCTTGTCAGTCTACTCAGCTTTCGGTGTTACAAGAGGGGTACCTCTGGAGTGGGCTCATGAGAGCACGGCAGTGTCAGGAAGGGGTGATGCAAGCTGAAATAAAGCAGTAGCAGCACCAGCCTACAGCTGGCTGACCACCTGCCGGTTTTGACATTTCTCGAGGTCAACAACTCATGCAGCTGATGTGTTTTTGAATCGGACAGCCCACCGAACCTCAACCAACCAAAAAGAAAATTACAAATCCATACACATACAGTCATATAATTGACATATCAGTCGAGGTCACACAGGAGTTTTAGTTTGGGCAGTAACCAGAAACGGGTGCAGCATACTGTACCGTTTCTGGTTAATGCTTTTTGTATATTTAATTTTTGTTCTATGCCATGGCCGTTGTTTGTCTGTGAATGGTAGTCGGTACATTCCAACTTCCCATCACGACGATACCGATTTAGATTGGGGGAGTGTTCTTCAAGCGAAAAAAGTGTCAAGTTTCAAGACAGTCGGAGGGGTAATCTCCCGATGACTTACTCCTTGAGTGCCGGTGTCCATCTTTGGGTATCTTCTACGGAGTAAGGCCCGCGCCATCGCTTGCGACTCCACGGGTTCTTCACCTGCAAATCGACAAAAAAACAAAAACATTCCGTAGCACACGATTTACGAAAAAAGTTACCAACACGAAACGACGCAATAGCCCAGAAAAAAGAGTTGTCCGAAAAGAGTGAATAGTATGAAACTGCCTCCAACGAGTACTTCGGAGTAATCGATGCTCATGCATGTGGTGCCGAAACAACTACGGCGTTCGAAAAGATGTATAAGTTGCTTGTACCAAATCCACCAAATGTGCAATTTCTGATACGTCCACCTCTCTTCTGCGCATGCTTTCTTATCTCACGCGCATCTTCACTGCTCTTCAGCGCCGCACTGCAATGCACTGCTGTTAATCCAGTTGATCTCCTATCGTAGAAAGCGGCACAGATGCCATCGATATATGGCGAAAACATGTTCATGTTCTGCAATCGACGATTTGAAGCTGCACCTGCAAGAGTCTAGTCCCATTGACCTCCTTCACGTCCAAAACGGCATAGGCGTGAGAGGGTACCAGGCCCAGCCTCTCAGCCTCATCCTCCGCAATGTTGCCTGTGCAACGAAAAAAAAACAGGCTTAGTGAAAACAGAAACAATACAACCATGACACAGACTGAGGCAGGACATTTTGTAATGAAATAAGGTGTACACTACACAAATAGCATGGCGGTCCCAAACCCGTCTCAGGTCGTCTCAATAGACAAATCGAATATCAAGATCGGTGTCATGTCATACGTTACAGTGAAATCGTGATGGCCGAAGGGGGCAACAATACCACAAATACGTCATACAACAGGTGGCAATCACTGTCTGAGCATGTCCGTGTTCTTGTCCTGACTTGCTACGCAGGCATGGAACGCGTATCGCCCCGCAACACTTTCTTGGTGTCACGGACGATCACATGACGGAAGGCTGTCCAGTACCGACAGCGCGGAACAGGCGATACAATGAACGATATCCGAAGGACAGCATCGGTAACCGTAACGCCTCCAGTGATATTTGACTTCCATGTCGGCGATGATGTAATCTCCGACAATGAGGCTATTATCTTCCGACAATGACCTCACCCTAAAACAACACCGGGAACGTCAAAACGTGACGCCCAACAGCAGCGACTTGAGGGCAAGACATATAACAACACCAATACGCATCCTTTGCACGCGAAAATCAAGATCTGCTTGTCGTGCATCCGCAACCAATATAGGTCCGCACTTGTCGCGACGGTGATGAGACAGTCGCCGAATCTGTGCGCCGAGAGGAGCCTTTGCCACACGCGTTCAGCGGTCTCGTAATTGTCCAGCGGCTGCGCACGTCGTGCTGATGTGTGTCCTTTTGGTGGCCGATGCTCCTCGAACAAAATCTGATAAATATCCGCACCAGTCAGATCGATCCATTCAAACGAGTTGGGGACAAAAAAAAAACAGCCAGAAACAATGTACCAGAACCTTGACTGTTTTTTTCACACGCGGTGTGTCCCCAAGTGTGGCAATGTCGTGGCCGTAATTTCCGGGGCAATATCTGAAAGATGTATTTCACGGATTATTACGAACGAGAACAAACGTTTCAAAAGCTTTTACCTGTACAAAGAACTACGAAGCAGAACGTCTCACGAAGCCTTCACAGCTACCGATATCAATTTAATCAACTTGTCATGGACAATGTGCGCAATGTGCGGCTCTGTGGCAGCCGGTGGTCCTCGAACGGGAAAGATTTTTTTCAGACGGAAACGTTTTTTTTCAGACGCGTTGATGCTGTCTCGGCATATCCTACCCACACCCTTCACGCTCAATTATTAAGCAACAGATTTTCCTGCATGACACATCCTCCACTGATTTATGGTTCGCTCTGCGGTTCTCTCATTGGAGAGCACTTCTAGAGTCAACGAGATGCAGGCGCTCCCAACCTGTTCCGGTAGCCATCCGGTCAGCGCGAAGAGGTCGATACCGGAGTTGCTTCCAGGAAAGTCGTAGCCGCCGTTTACCTGCCACAACAACGCAAAAAAAGATACGGAAAAAATCTGCGAAGAAGGCCAGCTGTTCCTACCGATCATCGTTGACCCCTTCTACCGACTACAACTTGCAGCGAATACCAATTTAGTCCACGGTTCCATGTCCAACCATGAAGACATCAGATGGTTTCACTTCGATAATATACACTATTTACCACGTGAATCCTCAATCCGGGGTACAACTTGGAAATCTAGACGCTTGGGAACAAGGGGCACGCGAGTGGAATGAATGAGTTTAAGCGTGACACCAGTCAAAAGACGTTTGTCCATTGAGTGAAACGTCGATTGAGTGAAAGACGAACTTGCGCACAGGGGGCAAACCACATCGCCACGAATTGATAGGTCACTAACCAGCTAGTCGGCTGAATCGATTTCAATACCCTTTACCGTAGATACCTTTTTTCACCTGCATTGCGGTCCTTGATTCACAGCAGGCCACCTACACGATTGAACGGCATATCACACCGTCACAATGTTGTCTACTCGACTAACCACACGCTCGTGTGTATTGCCGGGGTACCCTTGCCGCGGGGCCAAATGTACCTCAACATATTCTTTGCTTCACAATACAACCAGCCCCTCGAAAAGCTGATGCTATTACTGCTCCGGGATACCTTGAGATACGCCTTCTCTATGATGCTGACCCACAGCTCCGACTTGTCCGCCGAGGCAGAGCACAAGAGCCGACCCTTGCCACCCGTAGGAAGCAGGTCATCCACGACAACCTGAGACGTCAAACAACAGAACCAACACGCCATTTGATCGTTACGTTCTCGAGAGATGAACGACAACGTCCGTCAGGAGCAGGTCAGCCAAACAACAAACTGAGACTTCAATGACAGAAAAAACACTCTATACAGTTTCCAAACAATTGCTCTTGAGCGGTCAACGACACCAAGCCTCGCTGTTGTCAGTGGGAGCAGTACCAGGTTGAACAGCGAGTTGAGAGTAGGCCGCCCGCCAAGGTCTAACAATCAATTCAAGTTTCATAGTAGAGGACGGGGGGGTCAATAACATCAGAAGCTTGGACCCATGGCGAACGAAGGCCTGATGACTGATTGCGGCACCAACCTCTTCCGACAAGAAACACATGCATGTCCAACTTGGCCTGGTGACGCTCTTGCCGTGAGGGAAAAAAAACGAACCACATGCTGGAGACGATACTTACGAGGATTTCAGAAAGCTGTCCCGCCCGTGTGGTATTCGCTAATGCCTCGTACTACCGTACAAGCTCACCCCATCACAAGCCACATGCAACCAACTCCACAACAAGCGATTTGAGTCGAGATAGGTAAGTGACCGGGGGCGTGATTTACACATTACAAAGCAGCATTCTCAACACCATGTACACGTAGTGTTACCTTCCTAGAGACCCCGTTCACGGTGAGCTTCACGAGGTACTTGCCCGCAGGGTTATACACCGGCATCCGGCGTGCGTCCTGCTTGATGGTGACGTCAACAAAAACAGGAACATAACAACAGACAAGTAGCCACGAATCCTGTTACTATCATGTGTGGACCCTTGTAAACGCCAACCTCCCAGCGACTTCTTGGCAACGAGCAACCTCACTAAAGCACAGAATCTTCAAAGTGACTCACAACACAGCGTCATAACGATAGCGCAAAGGACTGGCCCACTACTACCGGCAGATAGAATAAGTTGGCCTATTATCAACCATGTACGGTCTTATGTCTTCACCTCGTACTACGATAAAACGGTACCAAGCCAAAATCGTTAATAAATGTGAACAGACAGCAGCAACGACAGCAACAGGAACAGCAACGTCGTGTGCCATGCCTGTGGGTAAATGATGCCGGTGATGAGTTGCTTGTGAAAGCGTCGCTCGAATGCGGAAGCAATGCACAGAGACGCCACGAAGCTGCAGTCGGTGATGAGGTCCTGCTTGATGCTGTAAGGGTTTACGTTGTTGATCATGCGGGGCTCTCCCGGCATCACTTGCGACGGCCGGCTCCACCTGACACAAATTCCACGAAAACATCCCGAAACAACTCGGTCAGACGAATGCGTGCCGAATTCGCACAAGGGAACACCGCGAAAAAATATCTCGTGAAAGCAAACCCACAATCACTGCCACCAATCGACAAGCTATCACAAGAGATTAAAATATTCCGCAACAAAGAACAACATCAACGGCCCCCAGAAATTCACAACCTGTCGCGAGATATTCATTCCGTAGCGTTACACGGAGCAAGTGAGATGCGGCAATAACAACAAGCGTTTTCAGGGGACAACCTCGAGTCTCGCGACGGTCTTCATGTGGTACGAAACAAGACCGCCTCGGGTCCGTTCAAAACCGTTTGGATTGGGGAAGCTCACCCTACTAGTTTTTCCCGCTGGGGTTCTGACAGGGATAGGAGGCCGTCTGGATCCGTCCAAGGCTTGTTGAAGGCGAACGTTTCCTGGGACGAACAGAAGGCAAGGACAGATGGGGAGATGGAAAGAAAAACAACGAAGCAAGGGAAGGAGAAAAAGCCAGGAAAGCAGAGAGATAATTGAACGATAGAAGGAAGTAGGGGATGACAGAAACAATTGACACATCTTCATGTGGTACCTTGGCACTTTAAAAATCCTTCGGCGGAGCAAGGGTTACATAGGCATAGAAAACCCTTTGTGACTTGTGAAATAGCACCCTCTCAGATCTAAAGACCAATTGGTGAGCTCGAGGAACTACTATAACAACAACAACAACAACAACAGGCGGCACCGAAGCAGCTTCAGCAACATCAACTCCAACGCCCTCGCCTGAAGGTCCTGCTCAATCCAAGGTAGGAAGAGCTTCCCGTTGATCGTGGAGCTGTCCCTGAGAACCATCACTTCCTCCGACGACAGTTCACCTTGGGAGGGTCTCGCTGGTGATCTGCGTCGTGCGAGGCAGAATCACATCGAGCCATTGTGTCGAACATTTGCCGCCGTCATTTAATAGTTGTCACTCAGTTTTGTCGCCCTCTTGTTGCGTGTTGTCTGCGCTTTTGACATGTAAAATGCGATTTTTTTTCATTCCGGGGAGATTCGAATCTAAAACCAAGGGCCAGAAGGCTACACAAGGTTACCAATTGAACCACTCAGCCACTCCCTGCTGTGAGATCGAGCCCCATCCAATCGTATATTCGTATTTTCGTATTTTCTTGAAGACGTGGCGATCTACTTGTTGTTTTACGTGTAGTGCGTGACAGAGATTCCCAAATACAACCAACTAAACCACCAAAACGCACTGCTTTACCAAAATCATCGCATCAACCCAACCGTATAAACATACCGCCACATCCGTACTATACCACCCAATCCTGCACGCATGTACGATACCGTACAATACAAAACTACTCTGAACCTGGACCTTCGCGCCGTACCACCCAACACACCTCGGGTGGCCGACGGACTTCCTCGGCTGCTGCTGCTGCGTCGGGGTGGCTGGCGTAGCCTTCAGGTTTTCAAAACAAGATATGAGGATAGGGTCAGTCCGGGGGAGAGGTCATCAGGGGGATACAGCAGTAGCAGCAGAGGCACAGAGTTGTTTGTGGAATGACTCTGAAGGCGGTGGCACAATACAAGCAGAGGAATTGAAAACGCGCAGGGGGGGCAAACAGAAGCACGTGACAAGCGGGGTAGGTGAAGGAATGGCTGACACCCAGACCAGAAGACCTAGAGACAAGAGGGGAGAACGAACATCAACAGCTCAGACAAGCCGAGTCGAGACGCGCGATAGAACATTTGTGGCACACCTAGGATTGTCGCGAACAACAAGAAAACCTGAAGTGGGTTGTAGCACTAGGACATCGAATACTGGTACAATATCGGAGGAGCCCACGTGGGCCCCGGCAGCATTGGTGCATCAAGTATTCGTATGAAAGCTGGGTGGCCGAGACCTGCGATGGAAACTGGTGCTATCGCGGGCGGTTTTCAAGGATACCTCCACCCAAGCTGCGCCAAATCTAGAACGCATGGACGAAGGAGCAATTGGAATGCGCCGAAGAACACTTGCAACCAACGGACGTCTCAATCGTTTACACCAACAAGTAATGCACACGGTCAGTGTATACCTCCCCTCTTCTCTGACAAAACATGTGCTTAGCTGGCGCAAGAGGACAATCAACATGTGGAGGCAGTAATGCTGGTGTCCAGCAAGCGATCCCTACAGTACACGCTTCCTCCCCCATCCCAGGCAAGCGTCGCCACAGAACCGTCGCGACAACTATTAGCAGCAGGTCATACGCAATCTCATCCAACACACCGATCGAAGCTGCTGTACTCAGTGCCCTCTATATGGATTGAACCTCTTGTGCTGGCATCACCGAAAACACTGTTCCGAGACACTCATCGAACCGCTTGTCCATGGTTGACCCGAACCGATGTGTTCTTCAACCGACACTTTCGATACGAAATTTGGGGATGTGCGAGGTGCATACTCGGTGTCGGGACAAGTTTCTCCTTTCGATTGCTGACATACTGACGCAGGCAGGGGTGACGACACTTGTCTCTCGATTGGCACACAATGAACATCCTTGACGCTGTTGCTTTTGCCTTACCCCACGCGTGGTACTCACGCAAAAAAAACGTGCCTTCCGTTCCATGCTCTCACCTTCACGACCCCCTTGATATCCTCTGCCCTCGACATCGCATCTTTCAGTTTGGTTGTCAGTCTCGCCTCGATGTCCTTCGCGCTGGTCTCCTCGCCGCCTCTCGCCCCAGCCTGCTGCTTTAGCGCCGCCAACGCCGCAAAATAGCACTGGAAAACCATCCAAGTTTCCGGGTACGGGCAACGGCACGTACCGCATGGCACCGTCGACCACAGGCGCACAGGGCGAAACGTATCAAGGCAGGGAGGGTCATGGGAGATGCAAGGAGCGGTGTAGAAGAGGCAGCGAGCGTATGATAGTTACGGGCAGAAAATGAAAAGGGGTGTTTATCGTGATAATTCAACTTTCCGGTTGACCACCGACCGAGGGGACTAGAAAGACTAGACTTTTCGGAGCGTGAAAAGACGTTGAACAAAACGTCGAGGTACATATATCTACGTGTTGACGCATCTGGTTTTGAGATGTGCTGCGCAATCTCAACCACGGAAAGATACAATCAAAAATCAACAACGGGTTTCATGCGACAAATGTCCTCGGATCGTCAAACCAACGTCGCGCCTTAGGCTTGTAAAATACAACTCGGGTGGGTGGTTACTCCAACCATTGTGCAGTACGGGTTGGTGTAACACGAGTTGCCCCCGACCCCCGCCCTCCAGAAGGGCTTCGCTTTCACACCTCTGCCGCCTGGGTGTATGCAGCCAACGCCTTATCCTTTTCCCCAGCTTGTGCCCACGATGTCCTCCGTCCTCGCTCATGTAAGTCCATCGCGGTGGTTAGCGCGCTGTTCCCTTTCTTCTCATCTGCAGGCCAGGCAATGGCGCAGGGATATTGACGTGGCAAGGAGCATGTGTAGATTTTACCCTTCATTGTCTACATTTGGTTGTCGCGAGTGGGAGGTTTTCTTCGGGGAATACGAATACTTTGTCTATTGTTACAACAAAACAGCGACAACAGGCACGATCGAACATGATGGACCGTGCCTCTGTATTATGCGGTAGGAGCAACACACGCTTTCCGACAAGTGGCGCCCTTTTTTTTCCCGGCCTGGTCGTCGCGATCATTCGTTCCATTTCCTCCCCGCTTCGGGCTTTCGGCGGCAGGCGACCTATAGATTCATCGGTGCCCTCACAAAGACCATCAACACAAAAGGTCTGCGTCGCCATTGGAAACCGAGCCACGACCGCAGACCACTCCCCGCCATCTTTTTTTTTTGCTCTTGTCTTTCCATCTACATGTGTTCACCAACAGCAAGAGGTTGATGCGGCCACTATTCTCACTAACCTTCTCTTACGTGTATGTCCCGCCGCCTAACCCCCTCCCGTCCCACACGCGCACACCTTCTTCCGCCTTCGCGTGTCCGCCGCTTGACGACGCTCCTGCTGCGCTAGTGGCACCTCTCGATGCTCCTGCCCGTGAAGAGGGGCGCGAGACGGGCTTGGTTGTCGGTGCCTCAGGAAGGTCTGCGAAGTAGTCCGGCATCCCCCCCACCCCACCCTGCTGCTGAGGTTCAATCTGTGCGACCCTCTTCTGCCACTCCTCGATGCTGTCCGACAGGAGCTTACGCATCCCACCGGACAGGTTCGGTGCTCTCATGGCCGTCTTAAAGCAGGCGACGTGTTCCTGATCGTCCGAGAGAAAAAAAGTGTTGGGAACATATAAACTCTTGGGTGTTAACTGTTGATACAGATATCTGTCGAACGAAAAAAACATAACAACGCCAACATGCACAGGGATATGAACCGTCTGACACCCAAAATAACAGAAACGACCCCGAGGGAAAATGCGGGCTTCGCACATACCATACTGTCCATCGCTACACTTTGCAATCAGCAATGTGTGCCAATCGACGCTGCAGGAGGGTTTAAGGTACAGAGCAATATAACCAATGGAGTGGCTTTCGCTAGAGTCGAAAACTCTCGAATTTGGCGCCCTATTTAGTATTGCTGGCTGGGAGATGACATCATTGGGCAACTGGTCGATTGGCGCATCATCATCACCATCATCATCATCATCGCTCTTCCTTTACATGAACACAGAAACAGAGGGGCGGTCAATCCCTGCAAAGTATCCTGGAAGAAGTAGGTCACGTCTTTACATAGACATGCCAGTCAACAGCTAGCTGAACACCGCATTCAGAGGACAACATTTAGCATTCCTGGAATGGCTCGTGGAAACAGCAACCCTGTATAAGGCTAGAAACAATGGCGACGTAAACAAGCAGCTGTGCACTCGCTCTTAAATAAAAAGAAAATAAACCAGCACAATACAGCAGCCTTGCACGACCAACGCATAAGACAACGCACGCTACGCTGATCGCGTGAAGCACCAAGCTCGCCATTGATACAGAGTGGACGAAAAATGCGTACCGAGTGCGCGAGCACAATCTATTAATAGGAAGCCGTTTTCAACTGAAACACTACAGTATGCAGGAAAGTGATTGTGTGAAGCACCAGGTGCAAACCTTGTATAGAACGGCAGCTTCCTGGATCTTGCCAGCCTTGTCTAGCGCCCTGGCCCTCTCCAACGCGGCGAGGCCTCTCTCTTGAGCGTCGCTTGCTGCATCACCCATAGCTGCAGGTTGGCCTGCTACTCCTGGCTATCGTGTACCTGTCGATCCCACCGCCGGGGGTATTGAAGTTGCAGCAGGAGAAAAGCCCTCAACCGTTACGACCTGCCGTATTCACGTGTTGAAGGGGGCGGTGAATTGTTTTCTCGTGATTCGAACGGATTTTGACAAATACGGTGGCATCACGGTTGTAGCACCCGCGATCAAGAAAAAACTTTGTAAGAAGCAAAGGCTCCAATTTTGGCGGTAAATAACAAAAATTGACTACGAACACCTCAGGCATGGATCCTGCACTACACCCTAGATAATGACCTACAGTATAGGTATGCTCGACGGTGGTAACGAAACACGAAATTGAGTCTCGACCCCAAATTGACGTTTATTACACGCGGGCGCAAACTGTACTGCAGCAGTAGACACAACTGGCACATCGGCATGAAGATCGAACTGCAGCCAAAACAAGGTGGTCGAAGCCCGTTTTATTTCATTCTCGGCGCTCTCACGCATGTAGGTGAAAAAAAACTAAAATGTTTCTGTTTTTCAGGTCATTCCCCGAGGAGAAAAAAACGGAGAATCCCAGCTTTGGGGGGGAGATAAAATGCCTTGATCTTGAACGCACCGCAAGTGAGTTCGCATTGTTCTTTTTTTCTTCCCTTTGCACTGCGTTTAAGGCCCATAGGATAGACGGCCTGCAAAAATATGTTGTCATCGGGAGTTGTCACTTACTAATGAGCACCGCCGATGTTTTGGATCGAGGTTTGGGGCAAAATACAGCGGTGGAAGACCCCCGAAAAAAAGAGAGAGGGGGGGGAAAAAAATGGGTTCGGGGAATCGAACCCCGTACTCCCGAAGAAGGACATGCCGCACAGCGTAAGCTCTCAGCTAGACTGATCCTTGTTGTTGTAGTTATCGTCTTCACATTAAAAACCATGCACCGCAATTTTAAATTTTCGTTCTTAAGACGGAGTACAGTTTAATTCCTACGCAATCCTGGCATTCTCGTAATCGAAAAAAATTTCAAGTGTAGAAGCTTCAACTATTAGCGGCGAGCACTGCCGTAGCGCAATACTTCGCCGATTGGCACAAACGTAGGCTCCAACAATAGGTGAAAATCATGGCAACACGATCAAAAACTAAAAACGAGCCTACGTGGATTTGTTGATGATACTGTATATGAGGAATTGAACGAGGTGCCCGTCTGCCGTTATTAATCCGCAGCTACAGCAGTTGCCGACCCCCTTCTACAATACGCGTAGAATGATTTGTCACCGTCACTACGTTGTACCAAATTTGCAATACCGTAAGCATCGCTGAGAAGCCCACTACACGTGGGAGGTAAAAAGAACTGCACATCCACAGCAACTAGTTGCAGAGGGGTCATCACAGCAGCAGCGCGGACGGTGTGTGTGTTTACTAATAGTAATTGTAAACTCCAGAAGCATCAGCAGCGTCGCGTAGAAATTTCTGTGTCTTCTCTTCGTGTATAAAATTGAAAAACACCGCGCTCAGTGTTGGTCCATGTTGCATTGAGTGGTCTTAGCACACGAATCACCTCTGGACTTATCGATAGCTACAGCGACCTCACCTACTGTTTGTCTCAGCTGTTGTCCCTGCTGTGCTGGAGAGTAAAGCACCCTCCTGCTCTCCCTTTGTGTGTGATGGCACTGAGGGGGCAAAACATTCTTCCGATGGGTAAGCATACCCTCCTATCAATGATTCACGACTCCCCCCAAAAGCGAGGTACACTTACTGTATCCCGCCGCACTGCATTGCTGATTACGGACTGCTTGCTATGCCCCTACGATAACACCGAGAGAGCACGCATCTGGGAGCACGCATTAGAGGAAAAAGGTACGTGAAGACAGGATATTGTGTGAGGTGTTGTTTCCTAGCGTAAGTACCGCGGATGCTTGTGTTACAGGAGTCCTGATGAGTTTGAAATTTTGAAAATTATCACTCCTTCCAGTGAGTCTACGCTTGTGTGTAGAGCACTGGTTGTAGAGTATAATAGATGTCCACGCCCTGTGATGTAGACCACAGGACTTCAGGGGTGGAGACACACCCAGACCCTTGAGGAATATTTGAATTATTGCGTTGTTCTTCTATCGATATATCAGAGATGGCTATTTTGAACCTCTTCGAGAGTCGCCGGGACGTCTGAGCCTGAGCCCTCGAGATGTACATGCAACAGCAAGTTCCTACTACTGTATTCGTACGAGAAGTGGTCTACAGCAGTCGTCTTGTAGTGTATGATAGACTACAGCAGTAGTACGCACTGCTGTGTGTGTATTTCATCCCATCCGTGCTGGGCGCTGTAGTACACACGTTTCGGCACATTGTTTGGCATACCAGCCGGGATCACACAGGAGGAAGTGAAGGTAAACACAGGAGGAGCTGCTAGATATTCGGCTTGCTTCGTACCAGCCTTATACAACAGTAGTACGAAGAAATATGTGCTGCTGTAGACATGTACTGCAGCACTTCGATCAGCTCTCACCTCAGCAAATAAGCCATGCCACAACGGTGTATGTATGTAGTCTATCGCTTCACCGCCGTCTACTGCGTACGGACGACTTGAGATAAATGCACCTCCTCGGTGATGACATTACATTTTACACCTGATGCCCTGGAGTGGCTATCTCTTGTCGGGGGGGGCACATGTCTTACGGCAATATGTGATAGTGCCGTCTCCCATACAGTAGTGGCATGTGGGTTCGTTGCAACACAACTTTGCCAACAGTTCCCCCCACCTCCTTGTCACAGGAACTCTGGAGACAACATACGCGGCGTATTTTCCCAATACTGTACAGCAGAGGTCCCTGTTTGGTGCCGGTTGATTAGTGTATAGTAACGGTGTTTTGGCGGGCACGCACTGAAATTCAAAGTCATTCTCAATACATTGAGTAGTACCGGTGAATTTTCAGGGCACAACCCGGCACTACACTGTAGGGACCTCTACCGTACAGGTGAGAGGCATTGAAACAATAGTACAAACAAAAAGGTCCTGCGGTGGCCTTCCTCGTGTGTAACCCCCCGGCTGACCCGTCCAACATTAAATTCATCATGGAAAGGTTTTTGCATCGTTTGCCAACGCGGCTTTTGAGTTAACGTTGCTTCGGGTTCTTCGCTCCTCTTCGGGGAGACGTCTGATAAGGTGCACTATAGACCGACCAGGCTGGCCTTGTTGGGCTTGTAGGAGGGTAATTTTTCTCCTGAAGGAATAACGCGTAGGAACCAGGCCGCAGCGCACAAGCAAGCATGGACAGCTATTTCTGCCCCTTAAGCCACAAGCTTCAACTCTGCTGGAAATTGAGTGCCTTGCCGTCGGTGTGTTTGCTTGTTCTGCTAGAACCAACATCATCCCATCTCTCGTGGCGTAAGTATTCAGGTAGATTTTCGTGAAGCAGTTTCATATGCTTCCTCGACCTCTAACTGCTCCGAGCCTAGCGTTTGCTGCGTTTACTGGGGCTCCTTTGGGGCAGGTGCTGCCATATCATCCGCAGACCATGTAGATCTTCGAGCTCTTGGTGGCCAAAATACCCATGGTCAAACAGTGTTACCCGCGGCCTCATCCGGGGGCCGTTTCTTTTTCAGACCGCAAGGAAAAACGCATTCCTTCCGAAGCTTGCCAAGGAGAAAGAGAGATGTAACAACGAATTTTCGGCTAGACCCCTCCTTCTCTCTTTGTCCACGTCTATCGACGCTGATATCAAACACTCACTCGCGCATTTCCCCCCAGAGCGCGGCACGCGCCGCCCTCGAGCGAGAAATGGACAAATACCTGGATTCGGGGCCGTCGTCATCGACCGCAGGCCAGGACAGAGTACCTATCAGGCGGTCCGCTTCGAGCACCAAGAGTCGTCTGAACGCCCTGCTAGCGAAACCGAAGGCCAAGCCCGCGGAAGGTTTCGATGTGTCCATGATCGGCGACCTATCGGTCGGAAACGGGGCTGCTGCTGCTGCACCGGCCGCGAAAAGAGCGAGACGCTCATCCCGTGGTAGCGGTGATGGAGGAGCAGACGCTGCTGCTGTTGGCTCTCGAGCGGAGTGCTTGGACGTGACCGCGTCGCCGCAGAGGGGCGCGGCCAGCTCCGCGGCATCCGGGAGCTCCAACGGCGGGTCGTCGTCAGGAGGCGTTTGTGATGACTTCGGCGCTCGTTTCAGCGGAAGGAAGAATATCAACAACAGAAGCAGTAGTAGAGGTGGGTCAAGCACTGTGGGGGGCAGGGCGAACAGCTACAGCAGCGGGTGGCCCACGACGTCTACTGGCGGCAGTGGCAGCAGCGACGGTGGTGCGCGTAGCAGTAGTGGCAGCAAGATGGGTCCATGGGCGCGAAGGCCGGAGGAGGTAGCTCTGTGCGCCGAGGAGGGCTACGACCCGTTGGAGCTCATGGACGACGCGAACCGAGAGATTTTCGGGAACAACGGCTTTCGAGGGGTTCAGGAACGAGTGAGCGCTTGCTGTCCTGTGTGGCGATAATGATCTACGGGGCCCCGCACCGGGTCTTGGTGTAGTTAGTATGACGGGGGCCCTGCGTCGCGCTGTCTGACTCGCTCTCCCTGTCGTAGCGGTGTTTGTGACACTCTTGCGGGTTTAAGGTCAGCTAAACGTATCTCGTTATTTTTAGCGGTGATCGATAGCTTGGGCTGTCATGTCATCTTGTCGTGCTTGTTGTTGTTGATGTCGTCAATAACGGTGGTGTTGTGACCGTTGGTAGTAGTGCCTCCGTGTCCGTACTCTTCAAGACCAAGAAACGAATTAACGTGGTCGTAAAACGAACCAGAACAAAATCTGAATAGTACCCATCACATCTACGTATGACGTTGGGCACACATATGCTCTGATGTCATGCGCTATTATAGCTGCTGGGGCTCGCGCGTTCTTGGTTAGGAGGTCGAGGAGGGTTCTCACCAGTCGTAGCTTTACATACGTCACCGCCATGCCTAAACGCCCCCGCCCTCATTGACAAAAAATATATGTTAGTCCTACAGTAAGTGAAACACGCTTCAGCGAAATCGCCAACAGTATCATGACTGGGAAAGACGTGGTGTTCATCGTCACGAACGGTTACACGTGGTTCCAGGCCTTTCGAAGCACTACGTGCTCTCTCCCGTCGGTGCCCCGCACTCAACATGACCTCTCCCGCGTACCGTGCGTTTGTTTCATCGCAGGTGATTCGGGCGACTCTCTGCGGTCGCGACTGCTTTGTCCTCATGCCCACAGGGGGCGGGAAGTCTCTCTGTTACCAGCTGCCGGCATGCCTCAGCAAGGGCGTCACGTTCGTCATGTCCCCGCTGCTCTCTCTCATCGAGGACCAGGTCACCCAGCTGCTCAAGGTACGTTGGGTTTGGTTGTTGTTGTTGTTGGTGTTGTTGCTATCGGTGTGGTTGTTTTTCGGGATGCGCTAAGAACAAGCAGGCATTGAATTGTTATGTACTTCGTGTCCTTTTGGTTTCTGCAATGTAATTAACCTGAGCAGTCTGGACATTCTCCAGAGTACAGAAGAAACAAGGAATCGAGATTGATGGTGTGGGTTCGCTGGCCAGCTTTTTTTCCCCATGTGAACGAAACCCGGCCGAAAGCCAACCACGTCTATGACTATTACAATAGAAGAGCTCGCTCTCATGACTCTTGGAAGCATCGTTGTATTCCTTTTCTTCAACAGATGATATTGTAGGTGCTGTCAAAGCACGGTCTGCTCATCTCGTCTGTGTCCGTGTTTTTTCCTAGCAAAACCAAACGAACCAAATCGGGCTAGCTATGGTTTCCACTTCCCGCCTTCCGGTAAGGTACGCCTCTTTGTTGCCCTTCTCAATCATGTCCTATCCATCACGTCGTTGCTCATGACATACTCTAGACCACATGTGACGTTGTGGTGATCTGCACGTAGCCGTTACCCATGACTATGTTGCTCTATTCGACAGAACCACGTATGCCGTTGCCTACCCACCCGTGAGTACCCTCCCCCCCGCCGGTTCAATACAGTCCATGTATCCCACCCAACGAACGAGGATAATATGCAGACATGAAGTAGTACATTATCTCGATTCTGAGGTGAACTTTCCTCTTCCATGCACCCTCGTGTGAAAACATCGTCTTTCTTCTTTTGTCCTCACACACGACACACGAGTACCGAGTTTATTGTTCGTTTGCTCTCCCTGGAACAGATAGAACGTATCGGCTAGATACCAACGGGGTGAATCAGGGGTGAATCAGTACAATATGGAGGTAGAGTGTTTCATTTTTGGTAAACGACAGCAGCAACAACAACAACAACAACAACAACAACAACAACAACAACAACAACAACAACAACAACAACAACAACAACAACAACAACAACGCATGTTTTTTCCACGCGCTTTCGACAGGCTCCGTGCGGAGGCATCCCGGCCGCCCACTTGACGAGCGCCACCCCCACGACTGCGATCAAGCAGATCTATAAGGATCTCGGCAGGGCGGACAGGGACCGGGAGCCGAGCGTCAAACTGCTGTACGTGACTCCGGAGCGGCTGGGCAACTCGGACTCCATGCTTGACTTCATGCACCGCCTGAACGACAAGGTTTGCTATCAAGCGTTGCTAAGGCTCGGGTACGTGCTTGTTTAAAATAGGCGGACCGCTCAGGGCCGTATCGGTGTATCGAGCAACCAAACTGGATGTGTACGTACAGCAAGGTTTACCGCAATAAAAGGAGATGGGCGTGTGTGACTCGCGGTAGGTCCAGTGTTGTTCAAGTTTCAGCGTGAAAGTTACAAGGGAAATAGACACAAGTGGGTAAACCCACCCCTTTCTCGGACAAAAGTGGGTACTCGAAAATCCAGCGCGCGCGCACTCCATAGGCGACCCCCAAACGACTCAAAACCCCATTCTGACACCTGGGCGACACAGCCAGGGACCATACACAGCACGGGCATCGTTTTTTCCCCACTTTTAGGCACACCTTTGGCCCTAATACCGCCGACGCGCGTAAGGCCTCAAGAGAGTGCCCACTTATGTCCGACATCGCGGTGGGTATACCCACCGGCGTCAACTAATTTTTTCATATACCCACTTGTGTCTGTATTTTGACCCACTTTTGTCCAAATTGTACCCACTTTTTTTGTCCACTTACGGACGGCGGAAATCGAGCGGAAATCGACCTCCACGTCACCGCACGGGAGAACATCGAATAGCCTCGGAACGTCTCAGAACCTCCCAACACCGTATGTATCCATGGCATATTTCCTATCCATGGCTGCCGACTGCGGACCGACCACGGAGGAACATGTCAGAAACATGCCAGACCCCTTCGGTACCGGCACGGGAAGATACCAGGCACGGGAAGATACCCGCGGCAAGCCCGGCAGCAGCGCACTAACGGCACGCCACAAATAAATGCGTGACACACAACGGACAACACAACCAACGGGTCGCGCATACAGAACAAAAAGACGCGCAAACAGCAACAACACACACACAAGAACACCAACCACCACGACGAGTGCACACCGACTCGTCACGGCAACAGTAGGCTTGCCGCGGGTATCTTCCCGTGCCTGGTATCTCCCCGTGCCGGTACCGAAGGGGTCTGGCATGTTTCTGACATGTTCCTCCGTGGTCGGTCCGCAGTCGGCAGCCATGGATAGGAAATATGCCATGGATACATACGGTGTTGGGAGGTTCTGAGACGTTCCGAGGCTATTCGATGTTCTCCCGTGCGGTGACGTGGAGGTCGATTTCCGCTCGATTTCCGCCGTCCGTAAGTGGACAAAAAAAGTGGGTACAATTTGGACAAAAGTGGGTCAAAATACAGACACAAGTGGGTATATGAAAAAATTAGTTGACGCCGGTGGGTATACCCACCGCGATGTCGGACATAAGTGGGCACTCTGGTAAGGCCTTGCGCGCGTCGGCGGTATTAGGGCCAAAGGTGTGCCTAAAAGTGGGGAGAAAACGATGCCCGTGCTGTGTAT